ACAAAAGGGCACATATAGCGCGTCCTCACCACTGTAGAGGGCACTTTAGACACGTTTTATATGTTATACAATTAGGCACATTATAGAGCCTTAAAACAGACTAACTCGACAGACTACTCAGGTTAGTTTGCTGTTAGGATCAGCATCCACGAGAACTGTGTGGATTTCAACGTTGGACAGTGAAGAACACAGCGACATGGATGTAAGAAGGAAATAAATCCATTTCCTGTATTCTAGTGCATTTTAACACCATATTATCACCAGATAATCCAAACTGCTTCTGTGAGATATAGTTCTGGCTCAATATAGATCAACAAAGGGCCCAACATAAATAGCCTACTCAATAGCATTAGCCTACTAACAAGACTTTCTGTCCTTAACTTTCAAGCTGAAGTTTAAAAGGCATTTTCAAGAAATCATTTTTTAAAATGATCCCAGATGCTTAGCCCGGTGGGGAGTCAACTTAAACCTGGTGGAAACCCTGATATGCAACGCTAACCCAACTTTTAACTTTACTGGCTAGCTTTGAAAAGCTATTCCCACAAGACGTAGTGAGGTAGCTCCTCCTTAAACATGCAATAGGCATCTACCTAATAATAGGACTTAGAAGAGGGCAGTTGAGTGTTTTTTCCACTCAAGAGGGCAATTTAGTGTATTTTGCCTTCCAATAGGACACTTTAGCACCGTTTTGGCTCCCAAGAGAGCACTTGAGGTAGGGTTGCCATTTCCTTCACATCAAAAAGGAGGACACTTTGCATACAGGGGACATGCAAGCAGATATTTGTTTGGTATGGTCCGGTTTTAAATTTTAATGTTTTTCCACCAGATTACATAAAGGTGCATACACATACCACATAGCTAATAATAAATATACAAGATACAGCTCATGACAACGTGCCCTTCCAATTCAGATTACATAGGACTAATAAACATCATACAGAAACTGTTCTTAATGTTTTTATCTGGATAGATAAAGGGTTAAAAAAAATGCAGCACCTTCTGTTTCAGATGTATAGGCTTTGAGCATTTTCAGAATTTCAGTCCAACAACCGACATTAGCTAACTTTACCATCTCTGTCACTGAGAGCTTGATTGACAGCCTGGTACAATCAACACATGGCTCATTTGAATATTAAAATTAGCCATGTGTTGATAGTCACATGAAAATGTCACCAATGAAATTACTTATTTTGACACACATTTTTAGCCAATAAGTATTAAACTAACGAGGTAATGTGTCAAAAGGCGGACCTTTTTAGTTATTTTATCAAAAGGAGGACAAATGAGTGTCAGGCTTAAGGCTGCCTGCAGCTGGACAGGGCATTTAAAAGCCGGACAAATGGCCACCCTAACTTGAGGGCAGTTTAGCACACGTTTTGGCTCCCAAGAGGACACTTTAGCACGCGTTTTTCAACAATTGGGCCAGGCCCATGTGCACGCCACTGCACATACATATAGATGGACGACATGACAGCTCTCCAAAAATCTGCCAAATCATCTCAATCACTCTCTGGTGGCTGACTGCAGTATATATCCATGTTAACAGATGGAGATGTTAAAATCAAAATACATGTAAAATAAATTAGATTTTTCACATCATGATTAACAGCTGAGCTTTGTCTTTTATATGTCAATGGTTTGAATTGCATTTAAGACATTTTGCATTTTCTCTGAAGCATATTGCATCTCCCCTGGAATAAAATGTCCTGTTATATAAATAAAGGTTTCCTTGCTTGTTTGTTGCTTTCCTGGTAAGTTAACTTCTCCCATCCCTACCATCTCTCTGATTGTTTTAAAAATAAATAATTACCTCACATGTTGGAGTAGGACATACCAGTTTCCACCACCACAAAAAATACTTTTACTAATGCAATGAAACCCATGTTTTGAGTACAACCAGTAACATCAGTGTATACAGCACCATAGATTAACATGGAATTCTTATCACTGATCCTGATCACTAGGTTTCACTTGCCGCCTACAGCTTTTTAAAGTTCAGCTCCACTATTTCAGGTATGTACTCTGACACTATATGTAAACCAGGAAACTAACGATGACAATGTTTCTCATGCTCAAAAGCAGCATGCCAGGATTAGAACATCGAAAGCCAGTCGATCCCATCATACCAACACTGACACCAGTACCCAAACATAGAGAGTTTCTGTCCTGTGGGTGATGGAATGAAGTTGATCTTCTCTGATATTGTGACTTTACTTTCTGTTCCGCCTGTGCTTCCTATGCAGAAACACCAACACCCACAGTTGTCTTGGAACTGATTGTGTGTGGAGACAGGAATGCTTTTTGTATTGAATTCCTTTCATGTCCACTTCCCTGCACAGCAGTAACAGCAACAGACAGTTAATGTACTGAAATATTTGGACCAAAACTAAGACAGTTGGATATCTGAGAAATTATGTCATCAGGCTTATTTTAGATGAACTCCAGACATGTATTAAGACATGTATACAAAAAGTATAATTTCCACATTAAAATCCTAAAAAAGGAGGCTGGCTCCAAAAGTGAGTCTCCATAAGGCCAGTCCCATATTAAAATGCCCAACTTTACAGCAGAAATAAACATATTTACAGCCTGGCACAAAAAACTCTTTTGGTCTCTATAGCTAATTTCCCCGTTCACGACAACTGTACGGGGGTTGAATTTTTATATAACTCACCAATTGAAATTATATTAAGGCTTAAAGTTCCAGTTCTATTCTATTCACCTTATATATGCTTCCCTTTGGTAGCATTATTAGGAATCACTCCATTAACTTTCACTGTTATGCAGATGATACCCAGTTATATCCATCGATCAAGCCTGATGAAATTAATTAGCTAAAGTACAAGCACATTCAGGACATAAAAACCTGGATGACCTGCAAATTTCTGATGTTAAACTCAGTCAAAACTGAAGTTCTTGTACTTGACCCCAAACAACTAGAGTTATCTTTGATCGGGATATGTCCTTCAACTCCCACATAAAGCAAACCTGCCTTTTTTAATTTACGTAACATTGCAAAAGTCCGACAGACAGTTAAAAAACTAGTCCATGCATTTGTTACTTCGGACTGTTGCCATCTCCGAGCCGACCGGACTGACTTTCACAACGGCTCTTCAGAAACCAGACTTCACAGAGACTACGTCCATTTTTAATTATACAGTCTACGGCTGCTGACAGAGAAAAGCGGGGCACTCACATAAGAATGTCACACTATCAGAACATTAGATATTTTTGAATTTATGAGCGATTCTTTGCAGGCACAAACAGCTGCATGCCTAAGTGGCCAAAGTCATTCTGTTCATGGACCCCAGTCTACAGAAATATTTCAACCACTAGGGGAAAATAACACCACATGAAAAAAACTGCATGGGATTAGCATAAAGTGGGCATGTCTGTAAAGGTGAGACTTGTGTATACCCATAGAACCCGTCTCCATTCAGATATATTGAGGTCAGAGGTCAAGGGATCCCTTTAAAAAGGGCCATCACAAATTTTCCATAGACAAAATGTAGCCTAACATTGGAGCGTTATTTAGCCCCCGTCCCAAAATGCTAGCATAAGATGGTTACAATGGATGCATTAGGTCAGCTAGTTTCATATGATACCAGTATCTTCACTCTAGCTCTAGCTCCACCACAACTTCTAAAACAGTGTGGAGTGGAAAAGGTATAAAGGCCTACTGTGTATATTTTAAGTTTAGTTTTCTGCCACCCCTTAAAATCAAGAAGGCCATGCAACCCCCCATGAAGCTTTGGCGACCCTTCATGGTGGTCTACGTCATGATATTTATATTAAAAAAAGAGTTGTTGCTAAAGGGTGAAAACCAAATGGGAGGGACACTGGAGAGAGTTCTTCTCCCAGCAGGCCTGGGAGCACGTGGGGCTCCCCACAAAAGAGGAAGTTACCCTTGCTGAATCACACACTGAAGTGCCATTAATGTTTTTAGCACGTGTGTCTGTGAAGGTCCGTGAGTATTTACAGTAACTCACTCATCTTTCAAGACAGGGAGGGGAATTAAAAAAAAATTGCTGACACTTTCACCTTCTGATACAGTATTTGGAACTCTTGCACTGATCATCCATGTGACATTGCAGCTCTGTGGCTGCTCAGTGCTAGCTGTGGATACGTAACTGGGCAAGGAAAATGTGTGAAGATCTACTTCTGCCTCTGCAAATATGATATGAATAAGTTATAGACATTTATAGACCTATGATGGGTCAGATTACTTTTGAATGTAGTCAGGGACAGGATACAAATTATATGGCAGTTTTTGTGATAAGTAACATAATGCATCGGATTACAAAAAAGTATGTAATCTAATCTGAATACCTTCGGAACACATTGAAAACAGTCATGGGACATTTCATAATTATCTTGGCCAAAATAATTGCATTACACGATATTACAATAATTAGCCTCCTGCCATGGTGACAGGATTAGATCAGATCAGGAAATTAATCAAACCGTGTGAGATTATTCACGATAATCCTGATTCACCACAATAAATGTATGTTTTTTATTGCAATAATGACGTATATAAACAGATGCAGCCACAAAACTCGGAGTTCTACAAATATTCTTTTTGTTCTTTAAAATCTGAAAACATTTTCAATGCAAAAAAAACCAAACCCATTTACAGTTGGTCAAATCAGATAACAGAGAATGTCTTCTGTCATTATTAATTCATTTTTCCATGTTGAAAACCATTGTTGTTGGTGTTGTTTTTGTTAGATGTCCACTGGCAATGCCACCAGTCACCCACCAAGCACACTTCACTTTAAGGTTCAGTTTCTTTGTAATGGAACAATGACTGTAAAGTCCTGACAACAATATTGAGTAATATAGATGGAAAGAATGAATAGTTTCATGTTGCATTTGGTAACCATTTAGAGGAACTGCACATTAAAGACACTTCTGCATTGGCTTCAGCCTTTGGTTGTGGTGACTTTTCAGACGGCTTCCAATGACAAGAGTAGCTGCGGAAATGAAAAGAAGTGAAATAAATCTGACTTTTTATTAAATCCCATACATTTCAGTCATTCAGCATGATTAGGAAACAGGCAATACACAGTTTGACAAAATAATAATACAAGATGAAGTATAACAGAATCACAGCAGCGTAAGTTAAAAACCTTTTTGGAAAAGAAAAAAGTGCATGCATGTACACGTACTGGATGTGAGGGAGCTCTCGTTTTTTGAGCGAACATTTAAGGTGCTCCAGATCTCACACAAATAGACCTAGCTACATCATATACTCGAATACACGTGCACATGTTCAGCAGGACACGCTACTAGCTGTAGCACATGCAGTACTAAGACTGGGGACACTTTTAAGTATTGACAAATAAAACGGCAACGGGCGGGAACGTTGTCAATTCAAAGGACACCCAAGGGCAAACAAACGTCACACAAACATGTGATTAGAATGAGTTACAGTCTTGCATGCTGTACATCAAGTCTCTGGATGCTTTTTGAAGAGCACATTGTCTGGTTTGCAGAAGATGGCCTTAGGAATTAATTCCCATTATCTTAAGGCAGTTAGGATGGGAGTGTTTATTTATCATATTGTCCAATGGGACATTTTCAGTGCTGTGGAAAGGCATGGGAGGCAAAAAAAAATATGACATGACTCAATCTGTTGCTAGTAATGTTCACTCCAACTGTCCACAACTTGTACTTCTTTAAGTCTTATTGTTGCTTAAAATAACACAGGAATTACATTCATTTCACTTAGGAGTTAAGGCAAATCTGCTTCCGAAGAGTTAAGGATGATAAAACATCCATGAAAAACTTTATTAGTGTTTTATTGTTCTCCAGTGTAAGCAGTTTGTCATGTTTCATGCTCAAGATAAAACTAAGGATGCACCGATACCAATAACAGTATCAGAACCAATACTGTGCTCATGTACTCGTAACTGACCTTACGACCTTACGTAGACCTTACGTTGAAGATGGTTAAAAGATAAAAGTCACATATATAGTCACATCTTAACATTGCTAATGTTAGCAAGATGCTAGGTAATTAGCAAGCTAATCTACATTAATTGTTAGCTAGCTTGTTATATCTGAGGGCTAATGTTAATTGAAGAATATTAGCTAGCAGTCGTCAAAATGTAAAACATAGACTAGCCAGTACAGGAAAGGAAAAAGTTGAGGTTCCAAAAGGGGCGGGGCTTAGGAAGGATGAATAGTAATCATAAAACCACCCCAATACCACTTTATGGCAGCGTGATGTTACGTAACCTCGTTAGCTGAGCAGGTAGGGGGAGGAGAAGCAATGTAAGCAGCAGTTTGGAGATATTTTAAGCAACTTTTACAACATTAGCAACATTTAATTTGTTACAGTCAGAAAGTAAGAAACATCTGATGAAAATAAAACATGTTCTCAAAATCTTTGTTAGAACTGTAATGATATTATTATATCGGTACGTGGCAAGGACCCAAATATAAGTACTTGTACTTTGGTCTGAAAAAAGTGGTATCAGTGCATTCCTGCTCCACATTCAAGAACACACAAAGAAAGTCATTTCTGTTCATGTCATATAGGAAGAAAGTGGAAGAACAGTCACATCTTTCATTTTTATTAATGTGTCTAAAATTAACTTGGTGTGGATGGTTTCCCATGTCTGTGGCTGGAAATTACAGGAAATGGGAACATAAAACCCAACAGAATGACCCGCCTGTCATTGTGTGGTTCACAAGCATCCGTTGGCTGTTGCCCATGTTTGTTTGAACTTCTTCTTTAATGAGAAGTGACTGCCATACACAGATAAACTTAAAGCTGCTATAGGTCAATTTTATAAAAATAACTTTTTGTCATATTTTCTGTAACTGTCACTAGGTTCCTCTGGCTCCTCCTAGTACTTGAAGGGAAAGACAGTCGTTTGTGGAGTCTCATTCCCAGGTTGTAAAATAATGACGCTTTAGGTTGGCAGCTTGCTCACAGTTAACTGTTAACTGTGTTTTTTCACAGATTATCCATCTCATGTACTACTGTCAGGATATAGTGAACGTTATGACGAAGAGTTATTTCATATAAGTTACCTACTGCAGCTTTAAGGACTTTACTAAAGGATAAGAGGGACATCCCCCTTTTAAGCAGGACAATTGAGGATGCATTGTTATTGCATGTTTGTTTTACCGCTGCCCTCTGAGGAAAAGCTTAACAATCAGAGACAGATCAGCCAAACCTTATACTTCTAAGCTCGATAACATAGATAACACAAAATATTTCTGGACGTCATGATGGATTCATGTTTTGGAGGCAACACAACTCTAGAATTTGTCCAGCAATGAATTTATGAACAGAGGGGGCTTTAAGAGACAAGAAACCTTTTTTTTTAAATAAAATAACAAACATAATTTAATGGAAATCTCTCTGAAGACTTGTGTCAACTTCATCCGGCCACTGAAAGGTCTACCAGAGCCTTTGGGATGCACAACAATAAATAGAAACAAACACATCCTCACCAAAAAGGAATCTTAAAGGAATGTTGACCATCCCCCATAGGGTTTTCCCGGCACTCACTGTAACAATGTCTCCATTATCACTGCTGTCAGTGTCATGTGAATATACTTGCTCTGAGAAGCACACTCATGAGTGTGTGTGTTGAACTTAACACGAATGCTTACTGTGGAGGATTGAAGGTTACAGGTTGGTGAGAAATGAATTTGAGTGATTTAAATATCCTCATGGCTTCAGTAGTATGCACGCAGTGTGTGTGTGTGTGTGTAAGTGTGTGTGTGTGTGTGTGTGTGTGTGTGTGTGAGTGTTCTTTAGCTGAGCAGCTCCAGGTATGTGACAGGCACTTTTCCTTTCTGGTTTCCTCTCTCTCCAATCAGCCAATCAGAGTCCATTCCCGGCACTGTGTAAACTGTAATGAGCTGTAACACAGAGCACACAGACACTTGTAAGCCCATTATTCAAAATGTAGAGCTAGAGCAAAAGTTAGCAGTGGTTAAAGAGGATTTAAAACAAAACTATATCATTAAAAACACAACTAGGAAAAGGAGAACTTGACAAAAACTAGACTACGGCCTCTCATTCCATGGCACAGTTTCAGTAATGTCTTGGTGGTAACGAGACTGAAAAGTGGCGTGTGTGTGTGTAGGTGTGTGTGTGTGTGTGTGTTACACACAGTAACAACACAATGAAGTAACAACCTAGACATATAAAAAAAGCAATATAAAATGCAATATAAAATTAAAGCTGCAAGCAGCGTTGGGCGGGACCTCGCACTCCACGCAACTCGGGGCGTGCTGCGGCCGCGTCGCGTGCCATCGTTACACGTGCGGACCAAAACATGAAATTTCACGTAAATCAGCTCTAAATCGCCACGCAGTGCTTACTTCCTGTTGCTGGTAGGTGGCACTATCACTATGTCTTAATATTGTCATGTAGACAAGTTCAAGGCGGGACTGTTATAACACACATGAAGTTTCATTGAGATTGGACCACGTATGCTGAAGTTATGAGGACGTGTTCAGGGCGAGACTGTTACAGAATATATGAAGTTTATTGGAGATTGGACATTGCACACTGAAGTTATGAGTGCTGTTTTATGGCGAATCGGCTGAATTCGACAAATCGTCACTGGCACGGTCATTTCACGTAACTCAGCTCAAAATCGCCATGCAGCATTTACTTCCTATTGCCAGTAGGTGGCGCTATCACTATGTCTGAATATTGTCATGTACAAGTGTTCAGTGCGGGACTGTTATCAAGCATTTGAAGTGTGGAGCCGATTGGACAATGTACACTCAAGTTATAGCGAATTCGTGTTTTGTGGCGGTCCATCAAAATTTCCCGCCACCCCACTGACATGCCCCCTCACCACAGTCAACACATATCATCAACAATGTGTTTTGCATTTTATAGTAAATTTCAGCTGGATCTGATCATCCTGCGAGGAGTAGAACATGAAAGTATAAAACACAATACATCCTGTTACCAGTATGTGGCGCTATCACTATGTCTGAATATTGTCATGTAGATGTGTTCAGGGTGGGACTGTTATCAAACATGTGAAGTTTCATTGAGATTGGATCATGTACGCTGAAGTTATGAGGACATGTTCAGGGTGGGACTGTACATTGAAGATGAGTACTATCTGTTTGATGGCCAATCGGTGGAATTTGACACGTCGTCACAGGCACACGGTTAAACATACAGTCACAAATAGCACAACTTTTGATAAACAATGTGTGTAGATTGAAGTGATCGAATTTGAAGTCAATCTGATAAAATCTGTAGGAGGAGTTAGTTAAAACAGAAGCCCTTAAATGCCGGAAATGGCATCACAGTCTGACATTTGATTCAACCTGGCCAACTTTGAGGGCATGCCACGGACACGCCCTTTAATGTACATGCACAAATAGCACAACTTTTAATCAGCACCATTTTTTGACTGTACGGACCAATTTTGAAGCAGATCCGATACATTCCCTAGGAGGAGTTCGTTCAAATACAATGCGAAAAATCACAGAAAATGACCAAAAAAATCAAAATGGCTGACTTTGATGCCACGCCATGGACACGCCCTTTAATGTACATGCACAAATAGCACAACTTTTAATCAGCCCCATTTTCTGATTGTACTGACCAATTTTGAAATAGATCTGATAAATTCCCTAGGAGGAGTTCGTTCAAATACAAGGAGAAAAATTCACCGAAAATGCGCACGGAATTCACTATGGCCAATTTTGAGGGGACACCACGGACACGCCCTTCAACTTACATGCACAAATAGCACAACTTTTAATCAGAACCATTTTTTGACTGTACTTACAAATTTGGAAGCAGATCTGATAAATTCCCTAGGAGGAGTTCGTTCAAATACAACGCGAAAAGTTCGCCGAAAGTGAAAATGAAAATGGCCGACTTCCTGTGGGGTTTCGGGTATGGGTCCAGGAGGCTTTTTTGTACGTCCAGGCACGTTACACGTGCCTACCGAGTTTCGTACATATTGGTGAAACGTGGCGCCGGGGCTGCTGTTTTTTTATCCTGTAGGGGGCGCTACAAACACAACAAACACGATTTTTGGTATGTGAGCTTCAGGCACCACTCTACACGAGCCCTGTGAATTTCATATTCATAACTATTACGGTCTCCGCACAGTGATTTATCATGCCAAAAGAGCGCCACCTAGTGGCGTATTTTTTTTTGTCCTTTTTAGGTGAGCCTCAGGGAGCCATGGGGAAGCATCGTACCAAGTTTCATCTTAATCACACATACCGTTTTAGAGATATAAACTTCTTCATTTTAAAGAGCGCCACCTTGTGGCAATGGCCTGAAATTGTGCACGATGCTTAAGGAAGACATGTGGAACTATGGACCCAAGCTTGGTGTCAATCGGACATACCAATGTGGAGAAATGGTCCACTTCCTTTTTTGACGAAAAATGTACAGGAAGTGTTAATTTTATAGCGTGCTTGTTTTTTAAAATTTCAAAAATGTTTGAATTACTTTTGTTGCCAGGGCGGTCCCCAGGTGCTAGGTGAAAAACTTCGTACGAATCGGACAAAGTGTGTAGGAGGACCACAAAAAAATAGTTTAAGGACATTTCGCGCTCTAACGAAAAAGAATTATAGGTGGAAGTGGGCGGGGCCTAGATGGGGAGATTCAGCTCCATTCACCGAACGCGTGGATACAAGGTTTTTGAATGTGCGACCAACTATGCAGAAGTTATTAGCCTAAACGCATTTTTTATGATAGTAGCGCCACCTAGTGGCGGACCCGAAAGCAACGCATGTAATATCCCCATTTTCACCAGGCCTGACAACTTTGCCAAATAAAATTGACTTTTCGTATATGTTCAGGGGGGCAAAAACGCAGTCAAAGGGGGCTAAAAATAATAATAATAGGTAAGAAGAAGAAATCGAGCAAAAACAATAGGGACCTCCAGCGGTCGCTGGCTCGGTCCCTAAAAATGTATAAAATGTGTAAATAATTAGTATAATTGTAGTGCAAAGTAAAAATATAAAGTGCAGTGAACAGATAAAACATATAAGGTGCTTGGAGACTGTATTGTTATGACCAGAGTTTTAGCTGTTATTGTACAGTGTGATGGCATATGGCAGGAAAGATTTCCTGTATCTGTCCCTTCGACAGCGGAGCTGGAGCAGCCTGTGAGAGAAGGTGCTCCGCTGTCCGACCACTGTGTGATGGAGAGGGTGCTGATCAGAGAGAGAGAGGGAATGACACACAGCACCTGATCAGACTCGAACCCATGGCCACTGCAGCAAGGACTTTTAAACTTTAAAGTATTGCTTTAGGCTAGTATCCGGGTTCCCACTCTTTCGCAGGTTTTCCTTGACAATAGAGGACAGTTGTGTAATCAAGTGTTACTGTAACTGATCTTATTGATACCAACCTCAGTGTTCACTCTCTTACAGAATCCATTTACTGCTAATGCTAACTCGGCATATTCAACTGCTGCTGCTTCACATTTAAAGTGCTCAGCTGGCAAAATGCCTTTATTGTGAAGCAGTCACAGGAAATGGTGTGTGTTTGTTGAGGCTGGGTTTGTGGTGCTGTTGAACTGTATTGCATTATACATAGAGGTGTTTCTGTTCAGGTTTATGCCTCCAGAAGACCAGTATATATACATATACACATACACACTGATCAGCAATAACATTATGAGAACCTGGGCACCCTGCGGTCAGAATGTTCTGCAGCCCCATACCAACAGACTGCTCTGCACTGTGTGTTCTGACCCCTTTCTATCAGAACCAGCATTAACTGTTTCAGCACTTTGAGCTACAGTAGCTCGTCTGTTGGATCGGACCACACAGGCCAGCCTTCACTCCCCACGTGCGTCAATGAGCCTTGGCCCCCCCATGACCCTGTCTCTGGTTCTTTTCCTTCCTTGGAGCTCTTTTGATAGGTACTGCACACTGCAGACCGGGAACCCCCCACAAGAGCTGCAGGTTTGGAGATGCTCTGACCCAGTCGTCCAGCCATCACAATGTGGCCCTTGTCAAAGTCTCTCAAATCCTTGCATCCTTACGCTGCCCATATATTTGTATGTGTGTGTGTATATTGTGATGGCCCAAGCCACACAGGGTAGCAGCCAGCAATGAGGTCTGTCCTGGTGGAAGAAAGGCGTGGCCAAGGGTGGAGGATGGTTATATCCTGTGGCCTACCAATCAAGCTGTACCATGTGCTGCCATGTTGGAGGGGGATTTTGGGTTTAGTTTGTTTTACTTGTAGTAGTTGTAGCTGGCGTCCATTTTGTTTTCCCCTTGTGGGTAAATTGGTTTGGCCAAGCCACTATATATGTTCCCTTGTGTCTCATTCAGGGAGGACAGTTTGTTTTGAGTATAGTTATATTTTGTTGACCTCTTTTATAGGCCTAAGATGTTAAATTCTTGGTTTCTATTGTTTGGTATTTTTGGGTAAATAAAGAACCCCTATTTTTCAACAAACTCCTGGTTTCCTCATTGCTTGACTGTTTGGTCCCTGACAATATATATATATATATATATATATATATATATATATATATATATATATATACTGGTCATCTGGAGGCATGATATATAGTCTCTGGTGGTCTTTAGTTTATGGTTCAGTCATTATTCTTATTAACAACGTACTCCTCCTATCTGTTACTCTGGCTTTGTATTTGAGTCATAATCAGTGCAACTTCTGCTTTCATTTCATTTCTTAGGATTCCCACTAGCTTTCAATTTCCCTGTTCAGAAAAAAAAACAGCACTCTTGACACATGACTTCGATCCATCTGCCTGAGAGATGTTGCAACCAATGCAGAGCTGACATAAAGCTCAGTTGCAATGTCAGCAGCAATAGGATTCAATAGCATTTTAGCAAATTTAAATCCACAATCAAATTAACTTATCCAATCTGAATCCTTTATAATAACTTATTGAATCTTAAAAGGGTTAACTTTTCAACATTTGCAAGTAACAGTTTTTACTGAAAATGAAATGAACAGCATCATATATGAAATGTATCTGACACATTCAATAGCTTCTTTGCAGTCATGTGATTTTGATGACACGTAAAATTCAGATGGAGGGCAGGAAGTGAAAAGCAGAATGGATTAGTGGTCTACTTAGATGTGTTTTTCAGCTGATATTTAGAGAGTAGGGAGACTGATGGCCGATATACAATGCTGATACCTAAACAAAGAAAAGTCATGTATAAATCCATTATTCCATGCACAAACCAATCTAATAAGTATAAGTATATTATTGTAGCCACATATATACACACACACACACATACACATACACACCACACGTCCCCCTTGTGAGATGGAGGAAAGTGCTGTGCTCATTGAAACTACATTATAGAGAAAGGTAAAAACACCTCAACAGCACAACATACCATATGTTGGATGTGATTCTTTGTTATGGAAAGGAGCGATTTCAACTGAATTTAAAGACTTGTTCTGACGTTAAGTCTACTGCTGCTACGTTCGGTTTGTTTTTTTGTGTTATTGTGTGACTTTGGTCCAAACTAACTATATAACCCAATATATATATATATGTATGTCTTGCTGCCGCGCTGCCCACAGACATACTTGCAAGCCGTTTTTTCTTGGAATTTTACCCCTTATGAGTAACAACTTTCGAAACTTGTGGTTTCTCGGTCTGATTGATATAGGCAAACCCAAATGACACTAAACAGGCATTTTGAGAGTTTGTGATAGTGCTTCCAATGTAGAAAATCACCTGCCTTTCATCTGTAGTTCTTTGTCTTTATTCAACAGGACCACTGAAGATAGACAAGAAAATGTCCCCCCCCCCCCATGTGCAGTCTGTTTCACAGGAATGCAGTGATGTGCAAACAAGCTGTTAATATCTGTAGTTGAGAGACGTCTCTTGTTATTTATTGGCCAACATATACAGATATATTGGTGTAGCTCTTATCTAGAGTCACTACTCTATTTGTCCCTGTTGTCCACTGTCAGTGGTTACAGAGTGATGTAGCTGCAGAGAGCACACTAAAATGAACAGACAAACTTTAATTTTTAAATGTTAATCAGCTACAGCTGATCCAGTCTGATGTTTGCCATCATGAGAAGCTGCTACCTGTATGTATTCTATTGCTCTTTGCTGATAAAAGGGTGAGAGGAGATTCGTTAGGGTCGGAGAGGTGGGCCATCAAGTAAAGACAGACTCCACTATCATCAGAAATAACATCAGAAATAAAAAAATGTACCTTGAGGAGAAAGGGCAGACACATTCCAACGAGTGAGGTTTTTGTTTAGAGAGATTTCTACCCAGTGGTCAACAGTCATTATTTGTCCTGCTAGTTGCAGGTAGAGAATGCAACCTCACCTCATCAGCTAAAAGGGAGAGCTCACTGGAGTCAGCAGCATCGTAATCGTAAAGGACTTTGGCCTTGCGGGTTCCTGTAGCTGGTGCCTGGACTTCCTCAATCTTCAGTGTGTCTGTCTCCACAGGGCTGCTGATGCCTTCTGATGCAGAGCCAGCAGTGGCCACGGAGGGGTTGGAGTTAAGTGCAAATGCATTGGGAAGCCTGAGGGACAGCAGACACATGCAGTGATCAGAACATATGTATACAATAACATATACGAAAATAACACAAAAAACAGCAAAAACAGAATAAGCACACAACTGGAAACTGAGAATACTTCCAGGACATCTACAGTGGAACAGATGACACTGTCATGTATTTAACAAAACTGGTTCCAAGGACACAGTACTGGAAACATTATATTTGGATAGATAGATACATTTGGATGGTTAAAGGTTGGTTAAGTTGAGGCACAGGAGGACTCTGCAGCAGCTGTTTGGTCATTGGTATTCAGCTACACAGCATCAGTGATATTGGTGAGGTGCCTGTGCAGAGCCCAAAGGATCCTAAAAGACAGTACCCACCTCAGCGACAGTCTGCTCACCCTGCTACTATCTGGGAAGAGGTACAGAAGACTTAAATACACTTTCTTCCCTCAGGCTGTGAGACTATTAAACTCTTCCTCAACAACCCATACAAATTAGTAATTTCCCATTCCTGTCCCTAATGCATTCACAATAAACTTTAAAGTCTGGCCAGAAAACTACAGTCAACACATTAAGGGCCCTGTTTTAACTGCAGTGACAAGTCTCCAAGTGCACTTGCTGTTTGGCTGTTATGTATGTGCAGCAGCACAATGTGTAAAAGCTGCAGTGGAATACAGATCAGAGGGTGCTGGGATTAATATATACACACACCACTGGTCGCAGCACACAAACAGGACCACAGTTTTACAGTTAATTAGCAAAATGCAGATAGATATGAGTAATAAAAAAATGTTTGGTTGAACTTTTTCAACCTTAATACTACTCTGTCTTACTTTGTGAATTGTCCCATCATGTTGTAAAATATGATTAAGCAGTGTTTGCACCATAAGGCATTCAACAAAGGCATAAAACACAGAAAAAACTGCAAAAAAGTTTTGAAGCAGGTCCTGACACATGGTATTGAGGAGTGCATGTGATTCAATAAAGGTAGACACACTGGACATAACAGCACTGCGCTCTGACTTCTAAAAACCATAGAGGTTGAATGAACAAAAACTTTTCACATATTATGAAGAAGCTGTGGACAGACAGTAGAATAATCACTCATACTCATTTACAGATAAATGCAGACCGACGTTTCTGTAATAAAACAAATGCCAATTTAACTGCATAGTGGTTGGAGAATGTTTAATTAAATTAGTCTATTTATATTTTAAGCATTATTCTGTTATTTCTGCATATGGAGTGCAAGTATTTTGTTTTTAGTGCCAGCAGATTCTTGGTTCTGAGATGTCTACTCTCAGCATACAGTTTGAACCCCAATTTCCACCAAAATACCAACAAACTCTTTGCACTGCGTCAATTCAATGAACCTGTTTCGTCCCGTCGCTGCACCATGCACTGGGGACCCAAATACCACACAGGTTGTCCGCTGCAATGAAAATAGGGCCCTTTAGATAGAAAAGCCAACAAGGAAAATAACCTGATCCCATTTGGTCATTTATATTTAATATGTATTTGGGAAACCAGGCAAGTTGTTGGACAGATCACTCACACAAGAGACAAACAAGAAGGAGAGCCATACTCACACGTCCTCATTAAAACTGAGGGCATAAGACAGTGGAAATTATTTGACATGATTTAACTCAAAACAACAAGACCGGACAGGCATCCATACGACCTGACTGGTACTGAGGACAAATCCAAGTTGTTGTTTTTTTATCATCTTGTACTTATAACAATAAATGTATCTCCGAAGTCGGGGGCATTTCATATACAACCATCAGCCATAAGATTGTTAGCACTAACTGTTGAAGTGAATAACACTGATTATCTGGTTATCATGGCTCCTGTCAGTGGGTGGGATATATGAGACAGCAAGTGAACATTTTGTCCTCAAAGTTGATGTGTTAGAAGCAGGAAAAATGGACAGCGTGAGGATTTGAGAGACTTTGACAAGGGCCAAACTGTGATGGCTCAACGACTGGGTCAGAGCATCTCCAAACCTGCAGCTCTTGTGGATGTTATAGCTGATATGCTCTATATGCCGCGTAATATCAGGATGTAGATCAACACTGACATTAACTAAAACTACAGTCCATCATCAGGCATACTAATCATCAAGAACTGATTAATTAAAAGCTAATAAATTACAATTAGGCAACAGATGCCCGCTGCAGACTGTGTGAACTCAAGCACCTTACCAAGTTACCATTTCAGTCCAATAGAAAAACATTCAAGGTGTGCCTGCACCATGGCTCTGATTAGGGTTGTACACCCTGCTCATTGTTGCTTTTTATATTATTAATATCAATATATTCACATTTTTAATGGTGATTAATCAATCATTGAGTAATATTAACATCCTTAAAGCTGCAATAGGTAACTGTTATAAAAACAACTTTTGCTGAAACCTTCACTATATCCAGTAGTACATGAGACAGATAATCTGTGAAAAGGTTTCTCTGGCTCCTCCTTGTGTTCCTAAAGGTATTTGCAAGAATATACCGGGCCTGAATAAAAACAACCAATCAGAGCCAAGAAAGATGGAATGACACTTTGGGCTGGTGGCTTGAAGATAGTTGATTGTTGAGTCTCATTCCCAGGGCATCAGATACCGACACTGGGAATGAGACTCAACAATCAACTATCTCTCTCTTGTCTTATATACTACTGTCAGGATATAGTGAAATATATGTACTTGTACTGTAATACTGTCATTTTCGCTGCGTGCTGTGTGAAGATGAATGGATAACCCTATAAACCCGGTGAAACTTGTGTGAGTCACACAACAGATGTTATCTCCCATCAGATTCTCACCTTCCCAGCTCCTTCTGTAGTTCTTGCATGTGAAAGTGACACCGCTTATAGTAAGCTGCTTGGGCCTCCACAAACTCATGCAGGCAGCGCAAGTGGTTTACCTGCAGGTAAAAAACAACACAGCCTTTTTGAAGAAACACAAGAGTTTAACATCATCTCCAGGGAGAAGTACTCAGATCCTTTACTTAAATGTACTACAAGGTGTTTTTAACAGGTTATGAAAGAGTGTCAATTTAATACTGATGCTTCTATATGACATATACTACTACATAAACAAAGACCACCGAGATTGGCTATTGGCTTGGATTTGTATATCCTTATTCTTAATGCCTGCCACTGGGTTGGTCAACTGATGTAGTCATGTGTAAGTAGCCTATTACTGTTGTAGCAGGAGATTTTGTGAACTGGACAATGTGTGTAACAATATAACTATAGTGTGTAAATCATTTTAGGATATAAATATGACTGTGACAGTTTCTTATTTTCTAAGTGCATAAAAAACACATTTTTAAAGAGGCTTTTTTCCTTTGTCTCTCACAGCCGCAAGTAATTTTTATAAAAATATATTTTTTTGGTCATATCTGCTGAAAGAATCCACCAGGCCTGAACAAAATCAACCAATCAAAGCAAAGAAAGATAGTTTATTGTTGAGTCTCAAATACAGAAACATTGGGACCCTGGGAATGAGACTAAACAATCAACTATTTTCAAGCCTCCAACCCAGAGCGCCTTTAAGTCTTTCTTGAGTCTGATTGGTCGTTTCCGTTCAGGCCTGGTGGATTCTTGCAACCATTAGGAGCACTAAGAGGAGCCAGAGGAACCTGATTGTTTCACAGATTATCTGTCTCATGTCATAAAACAGTGAACATTTTCAACAAATATGACATATAAAAAAGTGATTTTATAAAAGTTACCTGATGCAGCTTTAAATTCAAGATAAGTACTTTTCCAAAGAGTTCAGAATCATACCTACGTACTCAAAATGAGTAACCTTTTTATTGTGGGTATGTGCTTGTTAAGGGACGCTGCATATCAATTTTTGCTGGGTTTATATGTTCTCATCTTAACTACAAAAACACAAGAGTGTTTCACTGGGTTTTTGGCATCCATTTTATTCAAAATAAATACAGATAAATTCTAGGATTTAATTTAAAATACAAACACTGAAAATAGTTTATTAACCTTGTTGTATGTTTATTTAACAGCATTTACATTATTTAATTAATGCATTACTTATTAATTAATAACTTAATTAAAAAATACTCTTTAGTTTTAAAGTTCAGAATAAAACCTAAAACCTAATATAAACCAAGTGAATAATAAAAAAAGGATGATTTTTTTCAACGAACCACATGTAACAAAAAGAAAAGATAAAAGTGAATAACTACAGCCACTACAAATGCAACCTTGAACTTTGTGTGTGTGTGTGTGTGTGTGTGTGTGTGTGTGTGTGTGTGTGTGTGAGAGAGAGACGCTGATATAAGTGGTGGAAGGGGATATGGCTGACATACATGTGTACTACTGATGCCCTCCAAAAGCAGCCGTGTAACTTCTGCTTGGCGGTCAAACTCTGTTTGTGCCACTCGAAGCTCATGCTCTGCCTGAAACAACAGGAAGAATGTGAGTTATTTCCCTCGGAATACTTACATGTCCAAAGTCAATACTTTAATTAGGAGACATACTTAAAAACAATTAACATGGTAGGCTGATAATAATATGAAAATCATCTCAAAGACCTGGTGACTAAACAGGTCAGCAAGTCTGAAATATTTCCATGCTCCGGAACCCTCAGAAGACACACATTTGATGTAATTTATACCAAGGAGCATTCAGGAGGGAGGATTTTAGTTACTTTGTGCACAAACAGTCCAGTAATACTGGACTGTTTGTGCACTGTACTGTACTATGTGCAGAACAGTGGTAAGACTGAAAAAACTGATGGCCTCAGTATGCTACAAACAAAATGCTTGTCAAATGCTTGACAAAAAGACTGTCCATCAATCTCTCAATTACAATTCATTCATTTTCATTACACTTTTGTAAGGAGCTGCCTTCGTGGCCAGTTAAACCAGATATAAACATTTTGGTAAGAGTTTCATTGAAGCATACTGAGGTCTTACATTATTCCTGGACACCAGAGAGTGGGACAAAGTTCACAACCACAACAGTGCCGTACTCACTTTTTCCACTTCCTCACTCCAGAGCTGAAAGGCCAAAAACATGCAGAAAAAGAAGAACAGATAAGTTATAACAAAGACATCCTTCACTATTTTGACGTGCAACTCGTGCCAAACCTCATTACTAAATTACAAAAAAACTATTGTTTATTCCATGGAACACACACCCTCAGTGGACAGCATAAAAGGTTAGAATGTATTTTGATGGTTAACGTTGAAGTAAGTGTAGGCAAGCCATGAAAGCTGTGTCCCGTGTTATATTCACATTGAAAAGCCATTTTGTTACTACTCTTTATTATTCAGTCTAGCTTTACCTTATCTTTTTTCAAAGAGAAAACAATCCAGTTCTCATTGACGCAGTGACTTTGTTTCTTGTTCGTAACTGTCCTGTATTACCAAGGTTATGTTTTTGGTGTCATATGATTGTCTGTCGGTAGGATTATAGAAAACTACTGGTCTGATTTTTATTAAATTTGGTGGAATGTCTTACAGTGGGCCAAGGAAGAATCCATTATATTTTTGAGTGAATCCACATCACAGGGCAGATACACATTCTTTTTGAGCTGGGTGTTCCTCAAGAGGAACACACAGAGTTTGGTATGAGTGTCTTGGCTAGTTGTGATCCAAATGCGTGCAAGAAAGAACTTATGCACCAAGAAAGAAAACCAAGAAGGAGCATAATCATTGTTAGAGAGTGAAAAAGTGAACATGAGACTAGGAGAAGAGAAGAAAATGTGCTGTGGGGAAAAAGACAGCAGCTGCAGTGTGAACGCTTTGAGTGCCAGTTCATTCCTGACAAAGTTGATTCCATTTCTGAAATGCCTGAAAGACCGACAGATAGATAAGAGCTACACCAATATACCTGTATATGTTGGCCAATAAATAACAAGAGACGTCACTTCATAAATGCCAAACTAGAAGCCCTAAAAATCCAGTACTGGTCAGGCAAGCATGACACAGTCAGACAGATAGTTCGAGAGGACAGAGAGAGAGACAAGTGAAGCAAGGACAGACAGAAGTAGATTTTGGATTTCTCCAGAACTTAGCTAAACACACTATTTTCCCCTTAAAATCTCTTAAAGCTACGCAGTAAGTACTATACCGAACATTTCAGCAGTGAATAAATGATTGTTTGGAACATACTGAGGACATGGATCAACAGCAGAGAGGTGAATTATGTTGCAGGGGCAGTTTGAGAAGTTTCTCAAGGATTTTTTTCTGTTGCCATGACTCTAAGCTGACTACAATTGCTGCACACATTCACAGTGTGCATTTAACCCCAAACCAACTCCCTGACATACCACATTGCTACACACGTCTCAACCTTGGAAAATGTCCTGAATTTTGTTTCAATCTAATGGACACTGTATGTCCACAATACAAATCAATTTCATATGTGAATTATTTCTCTATTTTTATCTGTTTTAGCATTTAACAGTCCCTGAAATTCTTGTTTTTGCTGATCGCTAGGGGATTAACTTCTCACCATGCTTCAGTGATGTGCAAGTGGACTCTGTGACAACATTGCCTGGTTACGGGTGCAACACAGCACACATCTGACCACACTTAACCGCGCAGTCAGTGCTGAAACAGGCTTGAAACCTTTGAGAGGGTAGTGGACAGGTATGTCACAATTTCCATTCTAAATTAAAAAATCTATCAGAATCAGCTTTCAGTTTGGATCACTGAAATCAAACACACTGGCACTAGAGATGTTCCAATGCCATTTTTTCCTTTCCTTTGTTACACTGGGAAATAGCAGGGTCCTGATTAGGTGTAATTAAATTACATGGCATCGTATAGGAGCACAGACACGAGTACTCAGCAATACCCGATACTGTATTTTAAGCAGTATCGGAGGAATTTCTGATATTGGTATTGGTATCAGAACAACCCTAACTAGAGATACTCACTTCCCAAAACAAACGCACCAATCTATGTCACATGTCAGGGTTCAGGTTACCCACAAGGCCACATTCTTGCTGGTGGCTTTTAGCAGGTGAGAAAAGTTAAGCTGTTGTAAAGATCCCTTCTGCCATCTACTGACTCTCCTTTTTGTTCTTGTGTTTAATGTGTAATTTTCCAGTAATAAATTCACCACTGTGCCAACTATTTTGCTGTGCACACTAAACAAGTTTAAAAAAGCAGTATGCTCAACAGAAAATGTAGAAACTCTGAGGAAAAATCTGCTTTGTTCCAACAAAGGTGGCAGAAATCCTTTCTTTGGTTTAATCTACCAAGAAATGAAAAGTATAGAGACTAAGATGAGTTAATGAGCAACATCCCTGAGGGCTGCTGGAAGGTAGACGCTTGTTATCAGTGGCATGCCAACCTTCATCACTACTGTATAATATCAGACACGACACAGAGGTCTAGTATGCAACTCTGAGTTCATAATCACCATTCTTACCAGATGGCAACACCTCCTGACGAAACATTAATGAAGTACAGATTCATAGCTCACTACCAACAGTGACCGGTATTATACTAAATATTGTGTTAAAGCCATTTAAGGACAATAATAAAAAGTTAAGTGCTTTTCCCACCCACTCCTGGTGGCCTTTCATAAAAATCACTATTTCTAACTGAAGTATGTGTACATAGAACCTGACAAGATTTTCAAAGGGATGATTGTACATGTCCAGTTTTATTTAGTAAAGCAGAAATGTCTTCTTACCGCAGAGGCACTGGCAGAAAGCACATAGTTGCGGGGTCTGGTCTCCTGAAAATCTGGAGCCATCTACAGAGACAGTAAGGTTATATATCATTCATACTATTGTCTACTCAAAGTATACATGGCAATACACATTACACACCAAGAAATGCTGACAAGACAATCAGGAAGCACAGCAGAAATGAATGATGATGATCTTGAAGAGTTACACATTAAATGTCCAGTGTGTAGGATTTAGTGGCATTTAGCGTTATAGTTGCAGATTGCAACCCCCTCGCCTCACCCTCTTGTTTCAAGTGTGTAGGAGAAATTACGGTGGCCATGGAACTAGCAGAAAACGCCCAATATTCACGTGATTATAAACTAATAAAAACACATCTGTGAATATTATATTCAATTTCTGCCAATAAAGCCTCCTAAATGTTACACACTGGCCCTTTAAACTACAAGACAGCACAGATTACTGTGAAACTGTTAATTTGTGCATTAAAAGCAGTGGCTGATTTTGAGATTTTCCATTAAATGAATACATTATTGAATACATCAATATATTAATGTAAACCATGTCAGTAATGTAAAATCATGTCAGTAATGTATTCTACTTCTAAAATCGAGTTTCATAAAGACAAAATACCTGACCTTAATTATCATTTCCTTTGCCTCTTAAATTTAAAATTAGTTAATATAACATTCTTAATTCAAAAGGGCTGTGATATGCTCTAGCAGGTTACAAAGATGGGAGAGGTTGTTAGTTACCTGCCAGCACACTTTTACATTAGGTGTGTCTGAACTCATAAAAGGGAACACTGTATGTAAACATCCTCTCCTGCACCACTGAAACCAGTGACTAATATGTCTAATTCACTGACCTGACTAATCCACTGTAAACAGGACAGTCAGTGATATAACAAGCTTCAATTCAAGTCAGCAGCAGTGTATCATGCGCATGCTAACATGCATTCACATTGCAAAAGTCTGACTTTGTCAGTCAGCAAAGTATGTGATTTTGTCATCCTCATAGTGAAAACAAAAGCTCTGATAAAAGTCAGACTTTTTTTTATTCTGTTCAGGGAAAAACCAAAAAGCAGATCAAATTATTCCTAGATAATAATGAAATGGGAAAGGAAAATTATCAATCAGGAACTGCTATTTCAGGTTTATGACTTGGTTTGTACTTGTGTAGTGCTTGTGTAGTACAAACAAAGTGTGTAAACTGATTTTTCAGAATCAGAAAACAAAAATACTTTATTGATCCCCAGTGGGAAAATGTATTACTCTTTTTGTGCAGAATTCTAAGTACAGCATTTCTGGGCCTATAGCTGTTGCAGCCATATTGCTCAGTTTGAGGAGTTCTAAATGCAACAAATTTAAAGATAAAGCAGAATTGCTGGATTTTGGAGGGTAAAGAGTGCTCTTCTCAAAAGTTCTAATGGATTTGTACCAGTTTCCAGAAAAAATCATTCTGTCTTTCTCGGTTATGATTGGTTCATTCAGGCCTGGTGGAGTCTTACGAATACCATTAGGAGCACTAGGAGGAGCCAGAGGAACCAGATTTTTTTAACAGATGATCTGTCTCATGTACTACTGTCAGGATATAGTAAAAGTTTTTATAAAAGTTACCTACTGCAGCTTTAATCAGAATTTGTTTTTTTGTTTCTTTTCCCTGACACTTGGCCTACTTGCCTACTTTTGCTAAGAGTGAAGGCTCTGTAAATACAGCTTGTGTTCAGGTATTCAAAGTTCAGACCTTACATAAAAATCTAAACTTTCAAAATAACAATTTAATCGATGTCATTTCATTTTCCTCACAGAGATGAATGAAATACTGAGTGTGTTTTGAGACCCCCTGTGAAGTTGGGAACCACTAATCTATAAGATTGCTCAGAAAACATATTCTATTACATGCATACTATTTTTTGTTGTTGATTTTTTTCGTTCTTTTTTTTTTGAACAGCTTCTTGTCGCTAATAACTGAACGGCACAAACAATTCATTCAAAGCAAGTGAGACAATTCAGTGTGCATCACACCGAAAGTCTTTGAAATTTCTTTAATACTTACTTCACCCTCGCACTGCAATGGTTATGAATGCAGAAACAGTTAGTCATGGTTAATGACAGAACCACCAAATGTCATTACATTAGAATGATTATGGGAGTGAGTGTGGGGACTGGGTTGTGGGTTGAGAGGGTCAAAATGACTCACTGCAGCCTTAGCCTCAGCCACTTTGGCCTTCTTCAGACGTGTTTTACAGGCATCCAGGTCCAGGCGAAGGTTCTCCAGAAGACGCCTTTCTTTCTAAAGCACAGACAGAGATGAAACCAGGGAGCTGTGAGCAACCACAACCAATCAAACTTTGCTGGCATGGCAGAATTAAAGCATGCTAAAGTCAAAGTGGACAAACAGATGTGGGACAATAGCCACGTTCCTTTCACAGGGGTATTCCAAGGAATACAAACTTTTCTAGGAAGGGAGGGTCTACTTCAAGTTTCATTATTTTACCCAGCAAAAAGTCCCTGCTCAGGGCATTTTATTTCAGCCACCATTTTTAAAAATATGCACTTGCAAAGCAGCAAAGTTGTTGTATAGTTACGCACGATTATGACTGATCTTTTCAATCTCTTAAACTGGATTTATACTTGGCTTTATACTGAGTGGCAGTGAGCTACAACAGATTTATTTTACATCCAGGTAACTGTCTATTTTGCCTTTACAGAATCAGACAATCTTTTTTCCCTAAAGACATCATGCTTAGGGGTAGCTGTGGCTCAGATGCAGAGCGTGTCGTCCACTAATTGGTTGTTGGTTCGATCCCCGGCTCCTCTCGCCACATGTTGAAGTATCCTTGAGCAAGATACTGAACCCCAATTTGCTCCTGATGCCGTGCATCAGTACGGAGTCCCTAAAGGGACATGGGGAAAAAAAAAAAGAAAAATTTCTCGTGCTCACCAGATACTTTCTCGTGCTCACGAGAAAAGTATCTCGTGCTCACCAGATACAGGCGCAGCCTTAAGCCGGACACTCATTTGTCCTCCTTTTGAGAAAATAACAAAGAACGTCCGCATTTTGACACATTACTTTGTTAGTTTAATACTTATTGGCTAAAAATGTGTGTCAAAAAGTAATTTTATTGATTACATTTTCGTTCTATCAACACATGGCTAATTTTAATATTCAAATGAGCCATGTGTTGATTCGCCACAACACTGGCTCATGCAGTTGCTACCACCAGGCTGTCAATCAAGCTCTCAGCTACAGAGAACGTAAGGTTAGCTAACGTCGGTTGTTGGTTGTACAAATATGGACTTTTATTGTTGAATTTCTCCAAATTATAGAATATAATAATTATTAAATATATGAAAGCTGCAAGCAGCTATGAACGGGCCCTCGCACTCCACGCAACTTGGGGTGTGCTGTGGCCGCGTCACGTGCGGATCACAACATGAAAATGTCATGGAAATCAGATCAAAATCGCATTGCAGCGCATATTTCCTGTTACCAGTAGGTGGCGCTATCACTATATCTGAATATTGTCATGTAGACGTATTCAGGGCGGGACTGTTATCAAACGTGTGAAGTTTCATTGAGATTGGACCATGTACACTGAAGTTGTGAGGACGTGTTCAGGGTTGGACTGTACACTGAAGATTAAGTACAATCTGTTTTATGGCCAATCGGCAGAATTCGACACGTCGTCAGCCAATAAGTATTAAACTAACAAGGTAATGTGTCAAAAGGCGGACGTTCTTTGTTATTTTCTAAAAAGGAGGACAAATGAGTGTCCGGCTTAAGGCTGCGCCTGTATCTCGTGAGCACGAGATAGTATCTTGTGAGCATGAGAAACGTTTTTTATTTTTTTTTTTTCCCTCGATGTCCCTTTAGGGGCTCCGTACATCGGTGTGTGAATGTGTATGAATGATTAGTTTCTGTTGGATGGACTTTGCCATCGCTGAGTGAATATGTGTGAAAGGGTGAATATGGCATGTAGTGTAAAAGCGCTTTTGAGTGGTCGGAAGACTAGAAAGGCGCTATACAAGTACAGGTCCATTTACCCTTTACCATATTGAAGTGGGTTGGTGCGGTGCTTCAGACTCACTGAAATGGTCCTCCAGTCTCCTTCCAGAAAATTCCTGAGAGGGGTAAGAAAGCTGATGGCTGATGTTTGGAGGAACTCCCTCTCTGCCGCTCCTAGTCTTCTCTCACATTCTCCCACCTCAATCAAAGTACTCCCTGCAAGAAACAGATCCAGTGACCACAAACCTTCACTTCAAATCCCACACACTCTTACCAGGCCTGAACATGTCTTCTAAAAGCACCTGGCTACCATACCTTGACAACTTCTTCTGTCTGTATAATGCACTGTGTGCTTTGACTGTCAAGTGACGCAACACTACAAAGTTGTGGCTGTATGTTCACAAGTTATAATAATAGTATGAATGTGAATGTGGCATGTTGGAAGACTAGAAAGGTGCATATATATATATATATATATATATATATGTACAGTCCATTTACCATTTTATCTTTATCTATAAAGCACTCCTAAACAAATTACCAACTTACATCACTTCACTATTAGACCTCAATGTAGGAACCTAGCAGACCCACTCTCAGGACTGGATTACTGTACAGTTTATCCATTCCAGTTATCCATCTGGACCATATTAAACTTTATTGTATAAAGAGTATATATTTTTATATTCTAGATTATTTTTTCATTATATTTTTATTTTATTTTATTGTATTATTTATCCTTTTTCCACTCTTCGCATTACATTTTTCGTGTGTTGCTGTTCCAAATTAAATTTTATAAATATTGATTCCCTGATAACATTGGGAGATTTCAGAAACATGCTTAATAATAATAAGCATGTTATTGGTCTTCTTTTTCATTATAATTATAATTTTTTGTTTATATTGTTTACCTCCTTTTATGTTACCTAATGTAATCTTGTATCATTGAAAATTAGGGTTCATCCCTCAATGTACTCCGAGAAGTAAATAAAGGTTGAATGAATGAAGGAATTGTATTGCTGGTGTGGATAGCATTTTGTCAGACTGATTCTGTATATTTTGGAAAGGATGAACCTGAATATCTTTATATCTTCTATTTGAAGATGTTACATTGGGCTACAGGAAATTGTAACAAATTGTATTTCAGATCAAGCAATTTATCAAAGAACTGGCAGATGTACGTAGGTATGTGTCTAAATGTGGTGGGTTCTACAAGCTGACACAGTACTGCGGTCACAGCTGCCAGCAGTGGTTAAGTGTTCCTGTCTACTTTTACAATCATTGTTATCATTACCTCTCTCTCACCCCAACTGGTCGAGGCAGACAGCCACCCAGGGCTTGCTCATGGTAGGAACTGCTGGGTTGGGTTTTTGCAAATAATTCTGTTAGGAGTACGGTCTAGACCTGAGATAACATCTGTTAATTTTGGCGCGATACAAATCAAACTAAATTGAATTGGTGAATGATGTGTGAGGTCAGTATATTCTCACTGAATCTTCTGCTTTTACCAGTTCATGGCTGGGAAGTAGCATATGCAATATTTATACACCTGGCCCTTGCTGTGAACAGAGGACCGACTGGAAAGTCCCTGTTTAGTGGACAATAGCTGTGTTGGGAATGGGAAAGCTTTTCCTCTGTATGTGTGGGTGAGTGTCAGCATTCTGTACATATTTGTCACTTTCTATTTAGATCTGGATGTGTTTAGGGGAGGACGAGCAGGTGATCACATCCATCACATTGATTTATAAAAACAAAGATCTGAGAAATGTCTGTTGGGATGACTCAATGTTTTTCAGATCAGGCATTAGCTGAACCCTTTTTTCTAGAACATAGTGCCAACCTGAAATATTTAAACGTTCAAAATGATTCAGTTTACTATCATACGACATTGATGAAGAGGAAAATTAATTACCTAGACTATGGCGCACCACCATGGTTTAATTCCCCCCAAATTCATAATAAACCAAAAATATGTTTACACTTATCTCTAACATTGTGTTTTGCGCCGCTGGTTGAGCAAAGCCTCACTCACATTACAAGTATCCACGATTAATTAACTAGTGCAGTGGTTCCCAGACTGGATTCATGGCCTTCTTGATTTTAAGGGGTGTAAGAAAACTTAAAAAATATACACAGTAGGCTCACTTCTGTGAAGCAAATGTAAAGTAAATTGTTCAATAGAATCATTGTTAGAAATTATACAAAATACATAATAGAGACAGAAAATTGTATACAAAGTTTGATGAACAGGGAATAATCTACTCAAAATTCTTCCAAATCACTAATTTTACACAAATTTCTTGCAGTTCATACTGGGTTCATTGTACAGTTTTGAATATATTCAAACTCAATGATAGAAAAGGGGACCCATAAGGGAAAGGTTGGGAACCACTGAACTAGTAGACAATCTCCCCTCGCTCTGCCCCTCCTGACAGTCACACTGCTCTGCAGAGAAACAGAGACCGACGCTCTCTGGCGCAGATACAGTTCATTTTACCAGCGCAGACCAGCTAAAGCAACAGTGAACAGCAGCAAACACATCTGCTGTTGCCAATGTCATTGGTTGGTTTCGATCATTACGATCCAGTATTAACAACGAGATAGACCAACACACATAAAGTCAGCAGCAGAATGCAGAGGAGTTTCGTTTAGACCATTATTGATCTTTGGTTTTAACACAGATGGGGTGGGGGCTGATTTATCAGCCTAAAACATATCCCTGCATTATGGAGGGAAGGACGAGCTATTCAATAATGCTCAGGGATTTTTATTACCAATATATAACATTACTCATTCTATGTAGAGTATTCATTCCCAGACACTGGTTCGTGACCCTAACGTGGGTCAGGAGATTTTATTTGGGTCACAAAAGAATTTGATGAATTTTTCCTCATGCTAAAAGGCATTTATTTTGTTTCATTTATAAAGTATTAAAATGTGTACATTGTTTAACTGATGAGGTCAAAAACGAGAGCCTTAACTTTTCCTAAATGCACATATGTGACAAGTGGCTCAGATGCTGTTATTAGAATGGAATCACGGATAAAACAAAAACCTGAACCCGAGTTGTGATTTTTGGGCGACTATATCAAAGTTAGTGCTGAAGAAAGACAACAGCGATACAAACAGAGAGAGGCGGGGAAAGCTGGTGTGGGTGTGTTAGAGAGACATAGACACAGTAGGTGTGTGCATGGCTTGTGTGTTGGTCTATCAAATATTTTCATAGCTTAATATTGGGAACCCAACAACTGACCCTATCATCCTGTGGGAAACACTGAAGGCCTTTCCAAAAACAAGGGTCAGTAGCTGAACTGAAAGTCCACTAGAAAGCTCTGTTTGATGTTAGGTGATAATTAATTCATCCATTGCAGTGTGATACAATAATACATGTGTTTATGTAACTTTATTAGGCTGTATGTTTCTCAACAGATGATTCATGTTTGACTGTCTGCACTTTTCTTAGTAGACATTTCAGAAGTGAGGACGTGTGAATTTGGTATTTGGCTTTTTATTTTTCATTGATTTTTCATTTAAAGGAAAGATTAGATTTCAACCATGCAGTCCATTGATATTTAATCATATTAATGGTTTGCAGAGTCCACTAACACAAAGGTGCGTATTCAACCACCTAAAGACATTATAATTTAGTATTGTTCATCAACAGAAATCATAATAATGCATGACCTCTAGATAATCCAAAAAAAATGAACATCACAAACAAAATTCCATTCATCTGCGTGGCAGTGGGGTGGTGGCAGAAAGCTGCGAGATGGATATCTCAGGACCTTAGCAAATAAAACCATAATGATCTGCATGGCTAGATACCACTGGGGGTAAAGGAAAGAATGTGTTACTTTTGTAATGTGGTTGAACTGATCCTTTGTATCAAACTCCAGCTTGGTTGCACCAAATGGTTACTTTATTACTGACTCATGATGGGCCAAACAATAGACAATCAGACTTTCACTGCTGAAGATGAGAGGAGAATCATAGTCTGTTCTGTGATGCTCTAAGAATCCCTGTGGAGGACATAAAGATGACAAGCTACCACTAGGTTTGCCAAACTCTTGCATAAATCTGATTCTGGATCAAGTTATTGAGCTATGAATTTCCCTGAGGACATGTGTGCAGACAACCTGACTACTGCCGCAGTAGCACAACGCAGAGTGAAAATGAGCTTGTTCAGACCATTATTGATTTTTGGTTTTCCAGACTGGGTGTGGGTTGAGTCATTGGCCTGACACATATGCCTGCATTAGGGAGGGAAGGAAGTACTTTACAATAATACTCAGGCATTTTCATTACCAATATATAAGGTAAGTTTTAAAACTTGTCAATCGAAACATGTCCAGCTGACAGAAAGCTGTCGCCAAAAAAACATCCTGTCTTGGGTTTTTCATAGGGACGCACGATCTGCAGTCTGCTCAGTGGTCCGATTGAACAGGTTTAAACTGGGTTCTGTCAGTCCACAGTATGTTCAGCTGATATTCAACCAACACCAAACCTCTGAAGAGAATAGCTTAGCTAAAGTACAGGCCTGTTAATTCCAGTTAATTTGACCAATGACTGATTTCTTATATTCTTATTGAACTGTTGCTTAGAGGGACCTTTGTCTCTCTCAGTCTGGTTGATCCATAATACAGTTTTGTTCTCCATGTACAAAACCCTTCATACATTGACATTTGACTTTCTACAAACTCAAAGCATGAAAGGGCATTCAGAAACATAGAGCAGTCCTCTCAACCATCTGACTGTACAGAATCAAGCTTTTGTGGCAGGTGACTCCAAACTTTTGAATGGTTCACTGACTTTATTAGGCAGCTAACAGCTATAAATTTGATCTTCATGAAGGTTATGATATGGGCATCCAGTTAGCTCGGTCGTTAGAGCTGGCGACCCATATACACAGTGGCCCGGGTTCGAATCCGACCTGCAGCCGTTTGCTGCATGTCATCCCCCCTCTCTGCCCCCCTTTCCCAAAAAAAAATACTTAAAAAAAAAAAAATCACATGAAGGTTATGATATTCACTTTTAGAAACAGCTGTATGGTAATTTTGGAAGCTGTATTCTGTCCTATTGTGGAATTATGATAACATGTTATATGTTAAAAAAACATTGTTCTTATTTTTTGCTGCTGCCTGTCTTGGCTAGAAGTCCCTTAAAAGAGAGATCTTTTAAAGCCTTAGCAAGGAGACTGGACCCTTATATACCATGCATAGTTCATCATGATCAGAATGGTTTTGTCCAAAAACGCCAAGGATTTCATAATATTAGACGAGTTCTTAACATAATTCATGAAAAGTTTGATGCAAAAGATACAGCAGTACTCTCACTGGATGCCCAGCAAGTTTTTGATAGAATAGAATGGGCATACTTATTTAATGTTTTGCCCTCCAACCTGGGTGAATATTGAGCAGGCATCAGTACCAAACCTCCCATTAAGGCTGTATATGTAATCTGCAGATCCACAAAAGCACATCAGCATATTGGAGACACTCTTTCCATCTCTCGTTTCTCCCCCATATGGGGCAATACATATTTCAAAGCAGGAAGGGCAGACGGTGGATTAAAAATTTGGGCAGATAACAGTGCGCAAAAAATAGAGGACCTTTCTATGGATGGTAATCTTCTTACATTCGATCAGATGTGCCAAGCATACTATATTCCGAGAAACATTTTTTTTAAGTATCTGCAATTGAAACATTTTATTTTATCTAAACATAAGAATGTAGTAACTGAACCACCACTATCACATCTTGAAGACCTTACGCTTCAGCTTCTAGAGAGGAGGAAACAGATCTAGATGTCATATGATAAAGAGTCCACCATCGACAGGCAAGAGGCATGGAGACTGGATATTCAGGAAGACATACAAAAGGCTGATTGGGAAAAGGCATGTTTTAAAGCCCAAAAACAATATACCAGTACTAGAATGAAATTATTACAATACAAATGATTGATGAGAACATACATTACCCTGGTTAAGTTAAATCGATGGTCCCCTGATGTGCCAGACACGTGCATTAAGTGCTTGGAAGGAAAGGGTACTCTGTACCACTGTATATGGGATTGCCCAAAAATAAAAAAATATTGGAAAGAAGTTGTTCTGACTTTATCTGAGATTGTTGGAGTGAAAGTACCTCACCAGGCGGGAATATGTATACTTGGTATATATCCAAAAAACTTCGGACTCCTGCAGGCTAGGAGGATGATTGCTCTGTCTTGGAAAAAAATGGATGTGCCCACGATACATGTGTGGATAAAGGAGATGGAATCTTGTATTGTGTTGGAAAGAGTGACTTATATAACCAGGGGAAGGATTGCAGAGTTTGAGACTGTGTGGAAACCTTTAATAGAGTTTCTTAAACGTTAAAGTGCACAATCAACTTGAAACTGCTGTGTTGACATATGTTGTTGAGTGTTTGTGTTTTATTTAGTTTAGTTAATTTGTTAAATGTGTGAAGTATGTGAAATGTCTTGTGAAATTGTGACTGTTTATTTTATGGATGTTATTGTTTTGATTGTTGTCTATCTGTATAAGTGAAATATATATATATATAAAAGTTCAATAAAAATATTGTTGGGAAAAAAAAAAGAGATCTTTAATCTCAATGGGACCTTTCCTGTATAAAACCATCACTGCTAAGAATGGGGTGGAGAGTGAGAGGAAAACTTAGAGGAATTTATGAGAATATCCAGAGCACAATTGGGTACTTACCGTTACTACCAGAAAAAAGAAAAAAAGATCTTATCCAAGTAGTTTACCAAGTAATAATCTAATTGGGAAATCTTAATATCAATATGTAATCAGTACTAGGATCTTTAGATAGAGCTGTTTTTTTTTTTTAGAGATGGTTATTTGTGCTTGTGCCTGTATTGGATAGGAGCAGCGGAAGAGAGGAGAGGAGAGGAGAGGGGGGAGAGAGAGGGGTTAATATGCAGAGATGAGAAACAGGGTCTTTTTAGGACTCGACCTTAGTGCACGGTGCACGCCCTCTACCGGTTGAGCTTGACTGCAATTTAAGAGGATATGTTGTCAGAAATGGAATATAATATTCAAAGGTATGTTTTTACTTTGCTTTGCTTTAGTGTATAATCACCTGAATATAAGAATGTCTTAACTTTGAATGAGCTATTCATATCTACAGGGCAAAGCCCCATGGAGCACAAGAATTTGTGACAATTTCTTTCTTATTTGAGAAATATCTCTTTGTTAACTTACTTAGTATTTTATGTGAGTCTGAAGTGTTTATACAACTATTTTAAAATGTCTGGAAAGGAAGCAATGTTAAAGTTATGTTCTGTTTTTACTGTGTTGCAGTTTGTACAATAGAAACTGCTGACATTTGGATTCCTGTTAATGATTTGTATGGTCAGTATATAATGAATGGCAAAGCGTTTCTGTTGGCAGACAAAGGTTTGTTAGTGTTTGGATACAAGAGTTGGTACAAGTGGTTGCATTAGTCCATCTGGGTCCAACAGCTGTGCTGAAATCCTAAAGACAACTATGTGAAAAGTTAAAACTATATATAGATGTAGACAAATGTGACTTAGCAATTGTAAAAAAAACACCACACTGAGTCAAATTTAAATTTTGACCCCTTGAAGATTGTGTTGTTTAAGTGGTTGTATACTGACCATATGGAGTTCCGGGACCAAATTCCTTTGCTGCATCCTGCATATATTGACCCAGCAGCTCTGCATTGGTAATCCTGGATGGTGCCTTCCTATCCAACTTTTCATAGAGAAATTCCTCAATTCTGGCACCTGCAGAGAAAGTTGAGAAGAATTATTAGAGAAGAGTAATTTACAGCACAGCTGGGAACAAAGAAGCCCAGTGAAAACTATGCCCTTTAGTGGTGACCTGGAGTATTAGAACCCAACCGTAGTTTCTTGTAGCTCATTGTTTTGGTTTTATGACTTGAGTTTGAGCCACTCTCAAGAAAGCACATAAACATGCTGAATAATACCTGCTCAGCACAACAGACAGACAGAATTACAGAGTGGCTGATGAAAATAACAAACTTGGGCCTCTAACGAAATAAACACTCTGGAATCAGAGGAAAATAGAGGCTACCTTTTGGACTTTATTCACCAGGTGGGTCTGCTGGATGTAAAATTAAGCAGTGTGCTAACATGTTGGCCAAAACAACTCTATAAACTGGTGATTTGTTTTTCAGGCCCCTGGTCAAACATCAACTGATTAAACAGAATTAACTAGACAACAAAGTAAAAATACACATTTACAAAGCCATAATATACCTGAGTGAGTAAAGATGCTTATTTAGCAGAATTACCTTTTTTACGGTTCAACTATTCATACATTTACCTGTATGCAGCATTTAGTTGTTGTGGTTGTTCTGCTTAAAATATGCATCGTCTGTAATAGCATTCGAGGAAAAACTGTCACCACAACAAGACAGCTGCTCAAAAACTACCACTGACCTGAATCAATAATTCAGATACTCAGCACAGATATATTGTAAGGTCTCTGTTATTTTGCTACTGCTTGTAATGCAATGAATCTATAAAAATCCACACACTATAATATATATTATATAAGTTTCATACATGAACACACTGCATAAGAGTGTAGGTGCTCTTATGTCCAGACCCTGTTCACCATGTAAAACTCACAAATTATTATGACTGTGATGTCTGATGTGATTAGGCTTGGGTGATATCTTTGTTTCAATACCTTCAAACATAAATATTTCTGAGTAATACTGACATGGTCTAGACAGGTATGTGCTGCTATATGTGTGGTGTCACAGGGTATTACAAATAGCAATTTGTTTGTGTGTGTCTATTAGTAGGTCCTAAGCCTTGCCTAGTCTAAACAAATGTCATTACTGATGCATTACCATTGCTGTATTGCCAGGATGAAAATACCAGTGTATACCTTGTCACCACCCAAGTCTAATGTTTATTATGTAGGATAACTGAAAAGCATGGATGAGTTGAGTCACCAGAACTATAAAAGCTACACAGTAAACATGTTTTCCCCAGGTACACAGTGACTATGCAGCGATTCGGTAGAAGCCAGATGGTTCAAATTTGACAAATTTGTCTTTTCAGGGGTAAATCTCAGATGTCATGACGAATTCATACTGTAGATGAGGATTTCTTCAAGTTTTCATTTAATTTCACATTCTTGTTTCTGTGTTCTGTGAATTTGATTTGTTTTATTCTTTTCTCATCATCCCTTTTTGCTCACATACTTGTTACTGATCACACTTACCTTGTATAGCACTTTTCAAGTCTTCTGTTAATTACATGCTGATATAGGGGGCATGACTTGAGACTTAAGGTGACTACAGAGAGGTGATTCAGTAACAAGCTAGCTGCCTGAGAAGTCATATTGTACATGTGAAAAACTTTGTACATCAAGACAGAAATCTGCAGCCTGCAACCTCTGTGCGAGAAAGAAAAGGAGTTAAGTATGGTTCCTACACAAACACAAACATCAGTACACTCTCATATATTGCTACATGGAGCAGGAGTAATGAGGATCAACTAGTCAGAGATGATGTGAGGACAATATGAATATGAACAGATGTGTGGCAACTGTGTAAATGTTAAACAATGTGGCAAGCCAAATTCCCAAAGCTAAAATATGACACTGTGTTTCTGTCCATATTTTAAGCTAAGGTCTTTTAGAAGAAAGGATTGATACCACTCTGGTATATGGCCCTTAAAGGGATGGTAGGAACATGTTCTTAATATAGAGCCCACTTAAACTGATATTGATTTTTTGGAGGTGTACCTTTTTATGTGCTTTTGTACAACAACCAATCAGAGCCAAGAAAGATATTTGATGTTGAGACCCAGGGCATCAAATACTGATGCTGAGAATGAACCAATAAGCTATCTTTAAGACATCAGCCCAAAGTGTGGTAAAACCTGTGTTTACCCTACTATTTCATATCAAAATGGCTGCTGTGAAAAAGGTCTATTGTGCTAATTTGAACTGTACTGTACACTGTTTGATATAAGCAGGTCACCTTGGAAGCAGGAGGAGTGAGTGAGTCACTTCACTGCGTATCATGTTCAGGCTCCTCCTGGCCTGTATACAACACAAATGCTAACAAGTGCTCAGGCCAAACCAGTAGTAGATACTATTTTATCTTTGAACATGGACAGAATACCCAAATATCATGCTTCAGCTTGACAGCAAGACGAAGGCGAGAAAGACGAGATGAAAGACCACCTCTACAATCACAGAAAATACACTGTCAGTAAGTAAGCAAAAGGGGGGCAGGAATTTGGCTCTCACTATTATATACCCATTTGGCATATATGATCATTAACCCATGTACAGCATGTGCCGACTAACAAAAAACTGTGTCCCAGAATAGGACTCATTCTGTGTCCTGCTGGCAGCATATAAGTCCCTGGATTCCTCGATTCCCTGGGCATTAAAAATGTGTTTTGCAGCCGACTCTGATCTCAGTGCCAAAGAATCATGTGCTGATTTGGTCCTGTTAACGTTCATCTATGACTTCTCTGTACTGATAATTCAAAGGCATGAAAGGTTTCCACAGCAGGGCACTAAAGTAGGGAGGCAGGATACTCACCAGTGTGATCAACTGTAGCATGGAGAATCAAAAAGCCACATGTTAGAGCTCCCTATTCTCCAGTATGTCAATCCATATCACTGCAAACCTAAAATGAATGCTAATATGCTACATTATGTACAAAGTACCTCTTTGAACTTTGAATTCAATTTTTTTTGTCAAAGTTGTACTTGCAAGCTGGTCCCATTTTAAAAAGGTACCCTGTGGAGTAACTGACCACTAGTGCCACTATGGAATAATATTTTTATGAGTGGGTCCATGTTTCCTGCTCCCGGTTGCACGCTATCTGCTGATGGACAGTTGGTGGCAGTAGCGCGCAGAGAAGCACAGGAAATGTGCTAATAAAGAAAGAGAAGAGGAAGACTGGTAGATTTGTTAAAGATTGCATAATTTCAAAATATTTAAAAGGACCAGTGTATAGGATTTAGTGACATCTAGCGGTGAAGATGCAGATTGAAACTAACTGAACACCGCTGGCATCTGTGTTTGACAACCTGGGAATGAGAACAGGCTGTGAAGTGTGCAGGAGAAACTAGAATGGCTGCAAAACTCGCAAAAAACGCAAAAGGCCCCATCTACAGCCAGTGTTTGGTTTGTCCATTCTGGACTACTGTAGAAACATGGTGGACTTACATCAGTGACCCACGGTGTCTGTAGATAAAAACAGCTCATTCTAAGGTAATGAAAACACAACAACTCTCATTTTGGACCTTTAAAAGGTTGGTAAATGTTCTATGAGGAAGTAAATACATTCATCAGCTTTCATAGAACTCAGTGATACACACTGCATTTCGGTGACAGACACTGAAAGTAAACATAACTTTTCTCCGCGGGGCACCTTCAACCTTTGCTGACAATGCCAGTGATGTCAACAAACAAAACAAAAAATTGACCTTCTAAGTTTCTGTGTGGCTTCATATGTGCACATTATACACAATACTAACAGTCCAACAGGAAGAACTGTGTGTGTTAGACAAGTGGGCTAGTCTGTCCTCAGGTCATTGCAAAAATGTAACTGAAGTTGAACAACAGGTTTTCAGTGGAGTAACTGACTCTTTTTAACTAATGTACATTACAGAGCCTGCCCACAATAACTCTTTTCAAAAAGTTTTCAAAATTTAGGTAAATTTCAAATTCCAGATGTCAGAACGTTCTTGAACAGACTGACATAAAATAAAGGCAGCCGGGATGAATTACATGTCTTTACAAAGTTTTAGACCTCTTCAGGTTGGTACTACTGGTTGCCTAAACTGGAAAACCAATCCAAACACATGTTTGTACAGGTATGGTATAAGTACTCTTTGCAACATGGTCAGAAGTAATACAGCATACACAATTTATAGTTAAAGCTGCAGTAGGTAGCGTTTTGTCATATTTGCTGAAACTTTCACTATATCCTGACAACAGTACGTAAGACAGATAATCTGTGAAAAAGACAGGTTCCTCTGGCTGCTCCTAGAGCTCCTAATGGCATTTGCAAGAATCCTCGGGCCTGAATGAAAAACAACCAATCAGAGCAGAGAAAAATAGTTGATTGTTGAGTCTCCTTCTAAAGTTGTCAAATACAGACACTTGCTTCAAGCCACCAACCCAAAGCTTCTGTATTTGACAACCTAGGAATGAGACTCATCAATCAGCTATCTTCCTGGGCTCTGGTTGGTTGTTTTGCTCTGACTGGTTGTGGATTATTGCAGATGCTATTAGGAGCACTCCTCCTGGTGCAAAATATCACAAAAAGTGATTTTTTATTAAAATTACCTGCTGCAGCTTGAATGGGTTAAAACATGCAATGCCACCAGTGTGGTCCTTTTACAGTATATGTTTTGACTTTTTTTAATTTAAGTCTATTACTACTACTATTACTACTACTACTACTACTACTACTACTGACTAATTGTTGGTAACTGAATTAATTACACTGATGGCAAAAGGAATGCAACATTCTCTGTCTGGGTTGTGCTGAGATTTCATAAATAACAATAACAAAAAGCGCAACAGGTAAACAAATATTTTCATAAAAATGTCCATAACCTATGATTAGGGCTGTTTCCATACCACTTTTTTTTATATGATCCTTAACCTAGCCATCTAAAAACATCCTGCTCAAACTGTGAAACAAATATCATACTCCAATGAAGGAAGAACTACACAGCCCACAACATGACTCAAGTTATTCAATATGGCTGCTTTTCTTTTTTTTCCACACATAACTTTTAGCAGTATTTTGATTGGTCAGCACTTGGGATGTCACGAGAACCGAGTCAGGTCGATGCCACAGTTCTGAAAATGTGACGGTACTCGTTTTTCTAGAGTACCTTAAGTTCCGGGAAAATATTTTACATATTAACTCCGAACAACTTATCAGACGTGCTTTCAGATGTTGGAAATACTGTTCAGCAGGAGGAGGAAGACTCATCTGTGATGATGACTGTTTTTGCATTAATTTCAATACAAACCGAGTCTTAAAATCACCACAAACCGCAAAACTATAACTGCGATAGTCAGCAGAGAGACAGTTTTTGGTGCGGTGTCATCGTTGAATTTCACTGGTATTGGTATCGACTACTACATTTCTGGTATCGTGAGATCCCTAGTCAACACCATTCCAACATTCAAAATGAAATTTAGATGAATATTATATGGCTGTTCCTTCAGCTTAAAATAACTCCCCACAGCTGACATGATGACAGAGCTGCTGACAGTCCTCAGTCATGTTCTAGATACATTTCACGTGACACATGCTGCTCATCTGTGTTTTTTCTCTTTACACTCTAAAATTTAGTTAGGCATTTAAGTTATATTTAGACAAATGGATCATATTGGATTATACTTTTCCCCAAACAATTTCCCATCTAGTGTTTTGGTCAGTATCAGACTGATACCAATACCAATACTGAATATGGGATCTGTGCATCCCTATCTATGACTATGGCTTAATCAATCCAGAAGATGTTGTTTCATTTTTCCATCAGTGTGCCAGCATTACTTTATTTTCATTAGTCATTATTGATAAAATGCTAAACTAGTTCAATTGTGTTTTGCATTACATGGCAAATATCTGATAACGAATCTCATGAAGCTCAGAACAGCAGTAGTTCTGCTTGAAGATTATACGTACTCCTTCCACCTCTAATAATTATGGGGTTGCTGTATTGATGTCATACTTGGGTTGGGCTGCAGCAGGACCTCAGTCTGTCTGTAGATTTTCTCAGTCCAGTTTTTGGTGCAGTCTGCGCGGCTCATCAGGTTCTCAAAGTGAGCGTCCAGCTCAGTCTTCTCCGCCTGGCCCAGCTTCTCCTCTGTGAACTGAGGCAGAGTACTCACACACAGCGCACACACAGTCTCAGGGGTGAACTAGTGAATCACAATTGTGGGGTTTTAATCCATTAGTAAAAAAGGCTGTACTCTGTTTCATCTATTATGCTTGGATTTGATTTAGATTTTTTTAAACCTGCATATATTTTTTTTCTCCAGCTGATATGATAACCAATAATGACCTGCTTCTCCATAATTTGACATTTTTGTATTTTAAAAAGAAGTTCACAAACTGTATAATAAGGCTAAGATGTAATCAAAATGGATGATTTAATATTCCATAGCTCTGACCTAATCAAATCTAACTGACATCACTGTTAAGACAACAAAAACAAACAATTCTGTTTCTTCGTCCATTTATTTTTTAGAACATAAACCTAACATAAGGATTCAAAATAAATAATTCTTATTATTAACTGATCATTAACTGGCTGTTATTGACTTATTGGAATAATACACTAATATACATTTCCCATTGCTGGCCCTGATAATTATCGTGCATCCCTACTATTTACTTAATTGTCTGTCCATTCAACATTGCGTCCTAATGTTAGAATTGTGATTACTGACTGCCTTACAGTTTGTAAAGTACAGACATTAAAAGGGCAGATTGTTGGTTGTAGGTATGCTCTCAAAAAGTAAAGATGGAACAACCCAAAAAAAAAAACCTAACGTTAACGTCACGACGTCCTGAGGGGTCCGGGCTCGCCTGACAGGCTGTCGTTCCCGTCCCCTCTCTCCCCTAAAACTTATCCAAATGAAGTAAAGTTAATTTATTTTTTTATAATTTGCTTAGCTCTTTTAACGAAGTCCATAATTAATGTATACTAGCAGCGGCTGCTGCGCTAGCTTTCCCTCGAGACACTAAAACACTGCCAATAATCCATTTAAACAACGCTGTTTGATTACAGCGTAGGCCTGAACTGTAGCCAAAACGTAGCCGAATATAAAGTAACGTTACCTGCTTTCTGTGCTATTGTGTAGAGCTACGTTAGCTTGGCTATGCAATACTGCGAAGTCAAATATTGTACCGTAACGTAAGTCAGTAACGTTAGCAACAGCTGGCTGTCAAAATGAAAGGAAGCATGAGCCGGACTGCAGCAATGTGCACGAGCTAAACAGTAGTTACCTGGACAGCGCGTGTGAAAAACAGTCCGGCTCCGCAGGCTATTTTCTTCACGTTGAAATCCATTGTACCTGTTTGTGCTAGCTAGAGATGTTTCACTCGCGGCAGACTACCCGACACCAGCGGCTGGATGTTATGGCACGAGCCAAACAAATCACGTGACCACCGCGGACGAGGCCTCATTACGTCAAACACGTACCAACCTGCCAAAAGAATTCAAAACAAGCATCCGACTGACTTTAACAATGGCCAGTTTCTAACTTAAGAATAGTGATATTAATACAGCGACATGTTGATGATAACAGCAGTGAGCTGGGGCACTGTTTCATTAAGGTCTATTCTATTTACTAATTCATGTAAACCAACGCTTGGCCAGCAGACGTCATATCCAGTGCTTTAAAAACCAACCATTAGCCTTCAACTTGTTTTGCAGTGGTTCCTGAATATACCCTGGCGCACAGTGGTGACGCAACGACGCACAGACTCGTGGAGTCGGGGCTGGCTCACATGTGAGTTTTGTTGATAATTATTTCTTCTAAAGACAAGTTGATTTGACTTCGGACATTTTATTCACTCGTGGAATATCTCGTTTACTGTCTCACTGTCTGCGTGAGACTACAGCGACTTCATTATAGCTTGTTAGCTACCTACCAAACAGATTGTTGTGTTAGCTCGGATAGCTCACTGCAGTGCTGTTTAACGCCGCTCCATAGACTGATCTCAGTTCACTTTTGCTTTCCAGCTGTTGCACCTGCAAAGTAACGTTATGCAGAGCGGGTGGTCATGGCTTGGAAGTCGAAGACCCGCAATTTACAGGTGTTTGACACGGAGCTGAGTGCCGACACGGTGGAGTGGTGTCCGGTTTTATCGAGCCACGACATCCTGGCATGCGGGACATATCAGCTACAGAAAGGGGTGAGATTACATACTGTCCCGGTACATCCCGTCACCTGTTTTAGTACGGGCACAACCTCACACTAACCGATTCCACATCCACTGTAGGAATCAGAATCCTCCTCTGGCTGTTTATTTAAAGGGCTCATTACACATTAAAGCTGCAGCAGGTATCGTTTATGAAAATAACTGTTTGTTATATTTGCTGAAACTTTGACTATATCCTGACAGTACATGAGGCAGATAATCTGTGAAACAGTCCGGTTCCTCCGGTTCCTCCTAGTGCTCCTGATCCCCGGGCCTGAATGAAAACATCCAAGTCGCATTGGGTTGGAGGCCTGAAGGGTCCCAAAGCGTCTGCATTTGACACCCTGGTAATGAGATGCAACAATCAAATGTCTTTCTCGGCTCTGATTGGTTGTTTTTGTTCAGGCCCGGTAAATTCTTGTAAATGCCATTAGGAGGGCCAGAACAAGGCAGAGGAAACGATTTCTTTTCACAGATTATCTGTCTCATGTACTATTGTCAGGATATAGTGAAAGTTTGAGCAAATATGATAATGAAGGTTGATATAATAATGAAATCATTTTATGCTGAAATGGGCCACTCTGCACTTTTACTTTTGGTACTTTACTTATATTTTTACTTAAGATTTTGAATATGGGACTTTTGCTTGTAAGATTATTTTTACATTGTGGTATTGCTAATTTTACTTAAAGCCTATGTTTAAGTGCCACAAAAGATAACTTTTAAACATTATCTTAAATTGAGAGGTGACTGCATCAGAGCCAGAGTAATCGTCTATCCCTAATCCCTAAATGCAGCGGCCGATAGCTCCTAAAAACGTAAACTTTTTTTTCCCTGTATTTTTCGGCTTTATTGCTGAAAACGTGAATGATGTCTAATTGGATTTGCCATTTAAGGGCTAACCAAAATTGTATAAATCAACTGGATCATGAGTTTTTCTCTTTATTGCTGAAACACATATTACCTAAGACAGAAAACATCTACAGTCATCGGAAAACAAAGCGTGGAATTTGGATTAAATAGCAGCACGCTATGAGGATGATCCACCCAGCCCAGCTTGGACTACAGGCTGCTGGTTAATGAACAGTTTGGACGAAATGGGACTCAGGCTGGCCAAACAATGGGAAATCAGAGACTGTTGTGCCCACATCTTTACAGAGTGACCGGAGGAAGAAGACTCTAAATACATTTCCTTGAATTGTGATGTTCATCGCCATCCAGAAGTTACTTTAGGGAAAAAAACCTATTTAATTACAGCCTAAGCAGCTCTAGCAGGTACCTCCTGCTGGTGTCTAACTGTTGACTGATGTATTCCTCCTATAGGCAGGGGAAGAGTCTGCTGCCCCGAGCCGGACCGGTCGTTTGTACCTCTTTGAATTTCGGCGAGTGGGATTGATGAGCCCTCCTCTAACTGAGCTCCAGCGCATGGACACAGCGGCCATTTTAGACTTGAAATGGTAAGAAAGCCGGTCTGAACATTGTGTGGCCATTGATGTCACCATCTCTTTCCTTCTTGGTGATTCATGTGCATGTCCTCAGGTGCCACGTGCCGGTGTCAGGGCAGGCAGTCCTGGGAGTGGCAGCTGCCACCGGAGAGCTGCAACTGTACACACTCTCAGACAGTCAGGTGAGAAATGTGGCATCAGAAGATTCACAGCCAGGGACTTGTATTGTTAGACATTAAGCTAATGTTTGTGTACAGAATCCACATTGGAGGTGAGGTTTTTTTTGACAGGACACATGATGGCTGAATATATACATCAGCCTTTGAGATGAGTACTGATATTTTTGTTAAAAGCAGCCTTCCCTACCATATCATTCTAACCAAACTCTGTTAAAATTTAGCTTAGCATGGCATTGTCTGTGAGCAAAGGTATGACATAAGAATGTGGAAGTCTGTACACCAAAATAGCACCTCCTTTCCTGTTTACTATTTCTAACTTCTGCAGTACATTGAACTACCACTGTGTATGAAATCAACAGGCTAACTTCTACCTCTTCTACTTCTACTAAATAATAGTGAAATTCAACATACAGTGTGTAATTTGTGCCGCTAGGGGGTGCAGTGGGATCATGGGAGTTGTTGTCTTCACCATCATTGCAGTCAGCTTCTTCTGGTTAGGATTCCTTCAGTGTTCATGGTTCAGGAGGTCTACAATTATCCAGAGGTCTCCTCCTCTCCAAAACAAACGCTGATTAAAACCGCTACAAACACTGAATAAAGCAGTTCCACCTTAAAAATCACTGTTTCTCCCACGCTGTTGGGCAGACATTGGAGCTGAGCTGAAGCTAACGTTAGCTTGTTTCTCTGATAACTTGAGATCCAGACGTCTGATGACTAAAATCCTTCATCCGGTTCAAATCTAGAGTTAAAAAGCACCAAGATCTAAACAGTGGATGGTAACAATGTGGCTTCAAACTGGATAAAAAGTTAATGTATGACAACCACAACGCTGACGCAGGTACAAAGAGGATATGACGCCATCGACAGGCGACCGGTGAAACGCAGCGTTACCTGAATAAAATGACAGATTTCTGAGTTTGAACATTGTTTGAAACATTTTTGAGCTGATATTCCCAGGTTTTCAAGTTGAAAACCACTGCCTAAAATAGTGTTTGACCACACACAGCCCCTTCAGTCTGTTTAAAGAGGAGGACAGTTAATGTGCTAAGGGAAGAGAACAAGACACATCATTTATTCAGCAGACCAGAAATGTTAAATGTCTGCCTGTTTCACTGTTGATGTAAACTGATGCGCCCGGCAGCGTGTTACTCTGCTCCATCTGTCATTATGTATGTAAGACTCAGTGTGACTCATGATCGTGTGTATCCAGTAGGAAGGCGGCCGCAGTCTGCAGATTCTGAGCAGTTTTGAGGTGGGAGCGGATCGCTTGGCTCTGTCATTAGACTGGTCCACTGGAAGAATGGACAGGTAACAGCAACAGCACCTGCACCTTTATAACAACAGCTGATGTCCGGTTTTATATAAAAAACACTGATATTACCAGAGTGGGCTACTTTTTGTTTAGCTGCATCCCAATCTAATTGGAGATGCATATTGAATCTGATAAATATCGTTTGATTTATTTTTAACTCCTATGCAAAAAGTTTGAAGTCTGTGATAAAAGCCTAGTAAAAGCTTACATCTGTCCATATGTGTTGCATTATGTGTGTGTGTGTGTGTGTATGTATATACTGTAGTTATATACACATGTAAAACCCTTTCCTAAATATAAAAAAGTGCTATTTTCATGACAAATAGAGTAGGGATGCACCGAATATTCGGCCGCCGAAATACTTTTATCACCGAAACAACACGGCCGAAACAGAAAGTTGTGATGACGCAAACAAAAACCGCGGCCAGCACACGCTTGTCTGGATAAGTGCCAACATGTCTGCGGTGTGGACGTATTTCAATATCTGAGAAAGACCCACGGATAGCGATTTGCAAAACGTGCAATGCTGAAATTTCAAGAGGGGGTGCATCTGCAAAGAGTTTCTCCACGTCGGGTTTAATTTATCACCTGAAATCCAAACATCCTGATTGCCATTCTGAATATGAGAAGAATGTGGCACAGAAAAGGAAAATCAATCCGAGCACGCCCACTTCGTCTGGTGGACGTTTTTGAAAAGGCAAAGTTTTCCAGTGATGGTGCCAAGGCAAAGGGCATTACACAAAAAATAATGGAATTCATTGCCTTAAAGCCTTAGATGATCAGCCATTCTCTGTCGTAGAGGATGTGGGATTTCGTAGGCTGATTATTATTCTCATTAATCAATCAGTCATCATTCATTCTTTCATCATTAAGTTAAAGTTAAAAATTTTATTTAGAATTTTATTTTATATTGGGCATTGTTGTAATGTCAGTGCTAAATAAATATTTTCATACTTTTGTAACTGATTTATTCTTTGAATTGCAATGCCTTGATTTAAGTGAGGTTAGTATACAGTCATAGCCATAAATGCAATGGTACTAATAATTGGCATAATAATTTCTTTCGGTGTTACGGTTTTCAGTTTCGGCCAAGAATTTTCATTTCGGTGCATCCCTAAAATAGAGCTGTCACCATGACAGTTAGAGCCAGTGGAGGTTACATACTGCAAGTTGAGTTGCTCTCATTGGCTGTGCAGTTTTGACTCATCCATAGCAGCAAACAATGGAGGCTCATCTGGTCCCACGCATTCTCGTATAACAGAAACTGTACACTTAAAAAAAGATTTTAGTTGAGAAATGGGCAACGCTTTCGTCTATTTGACTCTAAATGGGACCATAATTTATTAGATGAACATCATGCTGTATGTAAGAAGACTGAAACTAGAGATTGAGACCATACACTCATTAGTAAACCGTTTACTGAGCTCATAAATGAAAGGAGAAGTTGGCCTCACTTCACAGACCCAAAAGCTCTGTCCATTATATACACAGTCAATGGTCAAATCTGACAACACTGGGCAATAAAGCAATGTTGTTGGTGTCAGCAGCTGTGACGTGCGGGTGGTGTGCAGTGACTCTGCAGGCTGTGTCAGTGTTCTCTCCATGGCTGAAGGCGCCCTGACGGCTCTGTCTCAGTGGAAGGCCCATGACTTCGAGGCCTGGATCTCCGCCTTTTCCTATTGGGACACACAGCTGGTTTATTCTGGTAACACTCCTCTACATCTGTCACATTTTAAATGGGTACTTTTAAGTGTATGTAACTTTGTTTTATGAATTGAAAACATTCACTGTAAGAATTACAGTATTCCAGACCAAAACATTTGTTGTATGAAATTTTTCTGAAGTCTTAACTTGTGTAAAGACGACATAGACAGGCCTGCTGCTGTCAGCTCAATGTCAGTATGGTGCTCTGACGTAGACCTCAAACCAGAGCTCTGTGTAGTCTGAGCTCCTTTAGCGTGAGCTTCCAGAGCTCAAATACAAATGTAAATATTGGCCCTTTTAATCTGGACTACAATGGTGGTATGCGCCAAAAATAAACACATTTTGCTGTGATTTAATGTATTAAATCAAAAGATCAAAAGGATGCTGAAATAACAATACATCATGATGGCGATTGGTGAAAAAAGGAGCGTGTTGGGGGGAGGCAAGCATTGCGACTTTGTATTGACTTTGTATATAATCTATTGAAGTAAATGATTTCCTTCACCTTTCTACGCACCATAATGGAGATCCCATCGCCCATCATTTAAATTTGGCCCCTCCTCCCCGTTTCGAGCAAACCAGAGAGCACCATTGGTCGAGCTACATACTGAATGAATGAAGGGAGGGAGGGAGGGAGCGAGCAGAGTTAGTGAGAACAGAGCAGTGAATCAGAGAGATCAAATGTTATTTTTGGATTGTTTCACAGCCATTACATTCTCTGCTCAACCCTGCGTGAATTTTGTGCAAATGCACCAAAATGTACCTTCATTTTTCTGAAAATGCTGCACAGTATGCCTTTAAGTAACAGCACATACTGTGTAGGTATTATCAGCAAAATGTACTTAAAATAAGGAGTACAATATGCTGGAGTGTTTTGATATGGGTATATATATTATTATATAATTATTGTTATTGCATTGATGTGTAACCAGCATTTTGGTCCATAAGAGGGAGCCTATTTGAACTGCTATATATTTTAATTTATTTATTTCTGGATGCTGTTTTTCTTCAACAGGTGGTGATGACTGCAAACTTAAAGGCTGGGATCTCAGGGCCGGTCCCTCCTCCCCCACTTTTACCAGTAAAAGGCACTCAATGGGTGTGTGCAGCATTCACAGCAACCCACATCGTGAACACATCCTGGCTACAGGCAGGTGAATATCTCTGAGAGAATAACCTTTTGTACTATTTTGACTGCTTCATGTTTTTTGGCCTTCATGTCCTAAACTGAAGCTTTCTCACTCTTTGATTAAGTCTTGTGTTTCTCTCTGCAGCTATGATGAGCAGGTCTTGCTGTGGGATGGCAGGAACATGCGGCAGCCTCTCAGTGAGAGTTCCCTGGGTGGTGGAGTGTGGAGGCTGAAGTGGCATCCGACCCATCAGAATCTGCTGCTGGCAGCCTGCATGCACAATGACTTCCATATCCTTAACTGCCGGCCGGCCCTCGGTGAGTGTGAGGGAGAGGTGGGCAATAAGTCCTTGATTTGGGTAGTTACCTTTTGTTGTTTTTGTTTGTAATGGTTGGTTAGTTATTCTGTTTAATTTAGTTTAGTTAGCTTCATTAGCATTAGCTTTACTAAAACAATAACTTGATCAACAGAAAATGAAACGGCAACTAAAACTAAAAATCAACATTCTCTAGTCATCTTTTCTGTGGGTTAGCTGGGTTTTTTTTGTTCGCCACATACAATAGTTGACTGAATATTTCTGTGTTTTTGAGTGTTAGATTAAAAATGGAATCTTGAAAAAGGAATTTCTTCACTATTTCCTGCATTTCACAGACAAAATGATGAATAGATTAAGGAAAAAGAGAATGAATGTAGACAGCAAGGGCCGGTGGCAGCAGAAACGCTCTCTGTGTGGACCACCACGGGGGTGCAAGCCGCTGCCGTCACACACTGCTCATGCGTGCTGTGTGTCCGGGCCGTAAGAGACAGGGGCAGCCCTAATCAGCAGATGAATTCATCGTTAAAATAATTATTGGTTGCAGCCATATATTTTGACTCTCTGATAGGAATTTACCTACAACTCTCCACTTACATTTGCAAATAGTTTTGCTACAATAATAGCTCCATACGTAAACAGTAGAATGAGAATGTGAACAAATGTGATGATTGCCCTGGCAGTAACCGAACACAGGCTTTGAACCCTACAGCTTCATCACAGAATCAGTTGGGATCCATTAGTGAACCTGAGAGCCGACCTAACATAAAAAAAATGTATGAATGAAATGTATCCTGTAAGGAACATAACTTGTTACTCATTGTCGAGTTTGTCTGAAAGCCTTCGTTGTTTTCCACTTACTGTCCAGAGGGCAGTGGAGAAGTGTGTCCTGTCGTAGCCTCCTACATCCTCCACAACTCCCTGGCATATGGAGCCGACTGGTCCCGGCTGTCCCTGGAGGAACCTGCTCCGGGCTCCCCTCCTGCTGTAGAACCAAAGGAAAGCCTTGCAGAGAGTGGAGGACACTTGAGGATTCAGTATGAGTCTCCCACCGCCAGCTTTGACACTTCCTTGGAGGACGATGCAGGACGATACATCCCAGATGAAATCGCGACGCCCTCCACCACCCACGCTGCAGTTCCTGCCCTCGAGTGTAATGAGGACGCCCCTTCACTGTCCTGTCTGTTGGCGAGCTGTTCGTTCTATGACCATATGCTCCACGTGTGGCGCTGGGAGTGGGCTCCAGAGCAGGCTCAGCAGGAATCAGAGCAGTGACCAGGCTGCAGCACTGGCTGCACTGACACTATATCAAATTAGAACCTGTACCGAAGTAAAGCAGAATGTACAGCCCAGCTATTACATGGGCATAATATACGGTTATTCCATTCACTGTCTCCACACTCGCAAAATATGCAATTAAGAAAACACTATATTTTCATAACGATTTTTATAAACCTGTATTTAAACATAAATTGTTTATAATGCCTATACTGTATGTCCTGAAGCAAAAAGATCAATACATCCATTCACCCACATTCGTTCACTTCATTATAGCTTTTTAAAGCACTGTGGCTGTGTTCACAGGCCAAGCTGCAATAGGCATGAATGAAAACAACCAATCAGAGCCGAGAAAGAGACACATGGGGTTGGTGGCTTAAAGATGGTTGATTGCTGAGTCTCGTTTCTTGTCAGTATTTGACAACATGGGAGTGAACTATAACTCTAGGCTCTGATTGGTTGTTTTCATTCAGGCCTGTTGTATATTTGCAAATGCCATTAGGAAAACTAGGAGGAGCCAGAGGAACCTGATTTTTTTTTTTTTTTAAGATTATCTGTCTCATGTACTACTGTCAGGATATAGTGAAAGTTTCAGCAAATGTGACAAAAAGGCAAATTAATTGTGATAAGACTGTTCACACTGCAAAATCAGACGTGTGTGTGTGTGTGTGTGTGTGTGTGTGTGTGTGTGTGTGTGTGTGTGTGTGTGTGTGTGTGTGTGTGTGTGTGTGTGTGTGTGTGTGTGTGTGTGTGTGTGTGTGTGTGTGTGTGTGTGTGTGTGTGTGTGTGTGTGTGTGTGTGTGTGTGTGTGTGTGTGTGTGTGTGTGTGTGTGTGTGTGTGTGTGTGTGTGTGTGTGTGTGTGTGTGTGTGTGTGTGTGTGTGTGTGTGTGTGTGGAGTGGCTAAATTGAAGAGATCAGATTCAATGTGATTGATGCTGTTCACATCATGTTGAAGACCTATGCAGTATTTGTGTGTGTCTTTTGTTGATCCTCAAAGGGAAGTTCTCTTCATTTGCCCCCCTCTGCCCTTTGTACTCCTGGATTCAGTGTTAATGACGTCCTAGGAGCAGCCAGAAGAACCTGATATTTTCTTTCTGTCTCACTCATTATCTGTCAGGATATAGTGAAAGGTTCAGCAAATATGACAAATATTTTCACTACTGCAGCTTTAAGGCTCCCCTAATGGACATCCTACATAAACCCCCCTTTTTCCCATTTGTGGGAAAAAAAGTGCCCATTTATTGCTTACATTAATTACACTTTCTGACCAATAAAGTCACTTTGATAATTTCGAGGTTCACTGTGCATATCTCAACTTGTGTAAATAAAGAATTTAATTTAATGTAATTAACCGTGGCCTACAGGAAGTTGCGATCACAACAGTTCAACCAATAGCTGTGAACTCTGTGCAACCTTAACATTTTTTGTCCAGTCACCTCAACTTTTCCACAAATTTGACCAATCATTGTAGTTTTCCTGCCAGTTTCACCGACAGTCCCTATAGCAGTGATGTTATTCTCACTGGAAGAACTTGCCTTTTAATTAATTATACCATAAAGAAGTGTCGTGGAAATTCTTCTAAGATTGAGAGTTGCTAGTTCTCTCAAGAACTTTCAAGCCGGTGTGATAATCAAGACACTTTATTACTTTATTATTAAAGTGTCTTAATGGTGAAGAGGAAGAGAAGCCAATGTACCCTAATCTTTACACCCTCTCTTTGGCCCAGACACCAGTGACTGGAAAAGGCCAGGTTGGACATAAACGTACTCTGAATCCCCCCTAGCAGCCTCTTTATATTACTGGCTCCGAAATCAAGGGGACAGGAGGGGTGTGCACCAAATGCCTATGATCAAATCTCCCAACCCCCAGCCGCGGCCGACAGGGGACGACGCATACACCCATTGGGATCCAGAAGCATAGATAGATAGATATACTTTATTGATCCCAAGCTGGAAAATTGCAGTGGTGCACAAAACCCAGGACAGAAATGGCAACCTCACTACAACAACAGAGGTTTTGAGGGGGAAGAAGAGAGGGGGTCCACATGAAAGGTCATACACCTTCAGGTCAGGTGTTACAAGTGTGAAAGCCATGGCCACATGAGGTGTGAGTGCCCCAACTCTAGCCCTCACAAACAAAGAGGACGCTATCTAGAGGAGACCTGGCCACATGCACCACCGAGAGGAGACTCGGTGCATTCTCCAGGATTCGACAGCGGAGGAAGGTCAGAGAATTGAGCAGCACATAAACATAGACGCAGACACAAATACACGCTTAGAGATAAATGTTGATTCGGATAAACCTGTTGTTACGTGTCAGGGACTGAGCTGGCATGCATGAGGAGTCAAGGGTAAATGTTCACAAAAAGTAATTTTATTCACAAAAAAATGTGAAAATAATCAATTTACAAAATATACAATAACATTCTGGGCCCATAAAAGAGGTCAACTAAACAAAACTTAACTCAGGCTACATTAACTGAACAGACTAAACCAACAGACCTAACTCAACTGAGACATTTGGGGAAAATTAAGGAGTGGCTGGCCACTCTGACACACAGGGGGAATAGACTAAAACACAACATTTAAACAAACAATAATCTCAAATAATATCCAGATAATACAGCCAAATATTAATTAAAGAAAATACTGAAATACTAAACATCAAAAAGCATAATAATCAGAAATAACTAAACTCAAACAAGGAGAAACCACTGCCTCTGCCCATGATTTCGGCCAACATGGTATAGCCCAATTATCTGCCCAACCCCTTTTAAGCATCTCTGATTCACTTCCTTTGTTGGCCATGAGATACCATCAGCAGCAGCACCCAGGAACTGGTAACTCAAAAAAAAAAACTGAATTAATGCAATGAAAAATAGACTAAATGAATAAGATAAGATATTCCTTTATTTTTCCCACAATGGGGAAATTCCAATGTTACAGCAGCAAAGTGAATAGAGAAAAAAAAAACAGTAAGAGTAGGAAATAATAAATAAAAACACTGTACAAGAGAAAAAACAGTAAGAAATCCACAACAACATATAACACAAATAACACAAATAGTAGTAGCAGCAGTAGTTGCAAATGGGCAATAGATTGCACAGTGAATATCTCTGGTCTACTGGGAGCAGTGCTGGTTGTTAAACAGTCTGACAGCAGCAGGAAGGACGGACCTACGATATCTCTCCTTCACACACTTGGGGTGAAGGAGTCTGTCACTGAAGGAGCTGCTCAGCGTACTGATGGTGTCCTGCATGGGGTGGGAGACATTGTCCATCATCATGAACCTAATAATACTACCCAAAATTGACAAAGGAAGTTAACTAATTGTGTGCACCCCAAAAAGATAACAGCTGTCAACAATGGATAATAAAACCTTGTATTATGAATCCAAAATCTGTGTCCAGTTATTTATTGTGATTTGTGTCTAATGTTCTAAACCTAAATATAACGAAACGTAAAGATAGTCAAACAAATGAAAGGATTACCACCATGTGCTTTTCCTCAGTGTGTGGCTGCTAGGGCGGCCATCACATTACATATCAACAATGTGTACAGCTAATACTAGATTCACACAGGAGCAGAGGTGTCTGTAATCCAAAGTAAAGTACTACCTGATGTCCCTAGGACAACAACATTCTTAAAAACAATAGGTGCATCAGGGATGCCAGCATTTGAACTAATATCTGAACAATTAACTGTCTGTCTTGGGGATTACAGGGGAGAACATCCATTTCTTCTTTCTGATGTATGCCCAATAAACCTTCTTATGTGTGCTCTGAGTATTGAAGTACGTTGTAACCCTACAGGTATCAAAGCAACATCAGTCATTGCTGGTCTGTATCATTTTTTTCCTGGGAGTGATTATTATTACTCATGGGAGGTGAAAGATCGTAGTGATATAGATAATATGTTTGCAATACCCCAGATGTCAGAAACACCTTAACATGTGCAATGTGTGTCACATTCCTCATCAGGGATTAGAGATTACAACTATGAAGAGAGCTGTAATGTAGGGACGGACAGGGGTGTATTATTTATCAATAGGTTATTTGTGGGTGTAGATTTTGCAGCTGCATCAGTAACACTGTCAGAAACTCAGGGTAAGTTGTTTAAAATGTCTGAAATACTAAATATTCAGGCAGGGATTGGATGGAGATGGGACCATGGGTGAAGGGAGTTTTAGAGATCTCAGACTGGCAACTTGAAGCAGATGGTAGTTATTACTTCCCCTTACTAAACATCAAATCTTATCCAAGATTTAAAGTTGCAGTCATTAGAACTGTTCATACACACACACACACACACACACACACACACACACACACACACACACACACACACACACACACACACACACACACAGAGTTACACTAATGCCTTTGACAGCTGAGGACCAAGCATTGCTGTCAATAGCACCTGAATGTATGTGGGCTAAGAGTAAATTGGATTTCGGTGATATAAAGGGGGCAACCCCTGTCAGTATACAGGCTAAATCTACTTTTAGACCATGTAAAAGACAATATCCACTTAGCCCAGACACTGTTGAGAGCATTGCGCTGGTCATTCAGTCTCTGATAGAGCAGGGTGCCATTGTGGAATGCCCTAATTCAACATGCAACTCTCCCATCTTACCTGTAAAGAAACCAAATAGGTCCTGGAGACCAGTACAAGATCTTAGGGGAATAAATGAAGCTGTGCAACATTTAACACCAACTGTACCAAATGTCACGACACTTAGGTCACAAGTTCCATCAGGAGCTTGTTGGTTTTCAGTAATTGATTTGGCAAATGCATATTTCAGTATTCCTGTCCACCCTGACTCACAGTTCTGATTTGCTTTCACCTCCAATGGCAAGCGTTATACGTGGATACAAATGCGACAGGGTTATGCTTCTAGTCAGACACTATTTTCTATAACTGTGGCTGAGAATCTGTCACATTGGCAGCCACTATGCGGCAATACGCTTGTGCAGTATGTTGATGACCTTCTTGTAAGTTCAGCTACACAGAAGGATTGCTAAATGGACACGGTGTCACTGTTTCGTTTCCTGGCAGACAACGGTCATAAAGTTTCAAAAGACAAGGTGCAACTGGTGTTACAATCAGTGCATTATCTGGGTCATATAATCACTCCAGAGGGTCGCAAATTAGGTCCAGACCGCATTCAAGCAATCTTGATGTCCCAAAAGCACTGAATAAAAAACTAATGATGTCATTCTTAGGTTTAGTAGGTTATTGCAGTCCATAGATGAAGGATTTTGCGGAGATCTCCCAACCCTTGTTTGACTTCACTCATGGGGGAAAACATCTGGCCATGACTGACTGTTTGACTTGGACTTCTGAGGCAGAAACAGCTTTTACTGACCTAAAACAAGCTTTATCTAGCCCTCCTTGTTTAGGACTCCCAGACGCAACCAAACCTTTTAACCTTTTTGTTTCTGAGAGGGATGGATTTATGTCAGCAGTCCTCACTCAACCCCATGGGGACAGACAACGGCCAGTAGGTTATTATTCAAAACGACTTTCTATTACAGAGAGGGCTACGGTAGCATGTCTAAGAGGTGTAGCAGCCACTACCGAAGCAGTTTTAGCCACAGCTGACATTGTTGCTATGTGCACCCTAACTGTTCATGTCCCGCATGCTGTCCACTCTCTCATCCTTCAAGCTAAAACAGCACATCTAACTCCAGCACGAATACTGCACTGGCTGAACATTCTACTAACTATGTTGCATGTCACTCTAAAGCGCTGTACTGTCCTTAACCCTTCCACTTTACTCCCTACAGCAGACGATGGAGACTGTGTCACAACCACGTGATGTGCTGTTTGACACACCTCTGGTTAACTCTGATTCTGTTTTCTTTGTAGATGGTTCTGGCATGAGGCATCCATTGAACGGATTACCGTGTGTGTCTGTAATGAACATGCAATTGTTGAAAGTGCAAGACTGCCTATCTGCTCAGGCAGCTGAATTATTTGCATTAACCCGTGCTTTTATTTTAGGTGCAGGACAGAACATCATAGTGTATACTGATTCCCAGTATGCATTTAAAGTGTGTCATAATTTCCATACTTTGTGGAGAAATCGAGGGTTTCTTACTTCTACAGGGAAGCCTATTGCCCATCGCAACCTCATCATTAACCTCTTGTCTGCATTACTTCTACCTGTCTCTGTTGCAGTATGCAAATGCCAGGCTCATACAGGTTTGACTGATCCGGTGTCACATGGAAATGCATCAGTTGATGCTGCAGCAAAGGCTGCTGCCCTTTCACCTGTCCCCCCCA